ATGGAGTATAGAGGGAGATAACTACTGTGCCCTTCTTAATCGATTTGGTTCTTGCGAATGAAAGTAATCGAAAACCCGCATGCACTGGTCTGCCGTACAGGTAGCCACGATCCACTCCGACTTCATGCTACGTAGTTAGTCAACCGGTCCGGGCTACCTGCCTCTATGTTCGCCGATGTATGGTTAGCTCTATGAAATTAACTTTAACTTTAAGTACTATCTGCAGATGTATTAAAATAATATTCCAACCGATGTTATAAATAATTAGATGAATTTCGGACAATAACATAGATAATGTAGTTTAAACAATGGATTTAACTATAAGCTTTTATGTGTTAGAACTTAAACTTGTTAACACATTATGCGTGAATTTTGTATTGTACTTAAAAACATAAATACTCGAAAACACTATATAATTTTACAAAACGATAAAAAAAAAATTCATGTGAAATTCCACTAATGATCGAAATAACGCGCAAAAATATGTTGTTAAAAATTGATACCAAATGTTTACAGATAAAAATCAAAAGCATATAATTTAATTTTAATCAATTAATATTTAATTAACCACTCACAGAACTGTTAATTTTATGAATATCAAAATAATAATTTTGATAATTACACTTGTATTAACTCTTAATTAAAAATATTTTGATATTAGAAATACTTTCAATGATTTTTTTTTTCAGTTTCTGACAAACTATACTATTCCACCTGAGAATCGAATATCAGTTTTGATCAACTATGTTAACGCAAGAAATATCCAAAATGATGGTAAATTATATGTAGAGAGAACAAAATATTTGAAATCTTATTATAATATGTTTTCATAATATGTTAAAAAAATAGTATTTTTTTGGGTGTGTAGTATATATTTTAATTCAGATTAAATTGAAGGGGACTTACGCTACAACATCAAAAATAACTGCAATTAACTTAAAAAAATTCATGGTAGAACCATATTCTTCTGCAATGGCCATCTCGAAGAAGTCATAAGGATTGATACCCCTATGACCATTTAAATATATATTACAATTTTAATTATTGCAATTTTTTTTATATACAAGGTGATTATTTTATCATTGATCACTTAACTAATTGAAAAGTGAATTAATCTTGTGAATTAATTTTATTTCTATTTTTTTAAATTTTTTTTAATTATATGTTTTTCTCAAATTATCAATAAATAAGAACTTTTTATAATCATTCTTTAAACCTTATAGGAGTTTTAACTTCAAATTTTCAGATGGCAGCACATATATTTAACTAGTTTATTTAATAGATTATTATTTAATTAAGAAATTAACTGGTCGATAAAAACAATTGAGCCAATAATTTAGAAGTTATTAAAAACTTAATGTAATTGCTGGAGATGAGGCGCAGATTTTATTATATATCACTAGAAATTTTCAAGCCGTACTTCTTTTCTCATCTAAGTCAAAAAATGTTAATAACTTCTGAAATACTGGTCCAGTAGTTGTTATCAACCAGAAAAATTTCTTAATAATTAAGAAATTAGGTTTCTAATTATAAGAAACCTAAACAAATATATTGGTTAACATTTAAATTAATGAAGTTACTACTCTTACAAGACATAAATTATGAAAAACATGTAAAAGTGATCAATGATAAAAAAAATTATATTGTATATGATTGCTACCAAAAGAAAAATTATTTTTTTATTTCTTATATTTTTTATTTTGAATTGTTCTTAATTACTAACCAATAGTACCATAGTACTGTAGTCGATATATTGGAACATGCGATTTTCTTTTTATTGATTTATCCAAGGTCGCGAAAAGAAATATTCTTTTAATAAAACAAAAAAAACATTTTTATTATTTTGAAGGGTCCTTTTATTAACTATATTGTAGTCAGGATAAATAGAGTAATTCTTAGCAAAATAACACGACGAAACGACTAAATTTAACTGGATTAATAAGCATAATATGCATATTGTATAAATATATTATATTTATTTAACACAATCGTTTAAAACATAATACACACAAAAAAAGAAAACTAATCTTTAGTATACGATTAAAAATAAACCAGCAACTCAGGTTATTCTGTGTCGGGTGGAGTATTTGCCTCTATCACGGGCGTTCAGCCGATTCCTTACGATGCATAACCTATTTGTCAAACAACTAGATAAGACCCCACCATGAATACGACTTTATTTTATAAATTATTTTTAATTTTATTATTTATACGTGTACACACTTACATTTACATTTACATTTGCTTAGATGGATGAGTGAAGTGACTAGAAATGATAGAATAAGGAACGAGTATATAAGAGGCAGTATAGGTGTAGTGTGATCGTGGATGAGATGAGAGAAAGTAGACTTCGATGGTTTGGTCATGTTATGAGGAGAGAACAATCGAAAGCTGTAAGAACAGTTAAAGAAATTAATGCTGAAGGAAGACCAAAAAAGAGACGAAGGGATGTTATTGAATGCGATTTGAGGACAACTGATGTGAGCGTAGATGATGTGGGAGATCGTGTCAAGTGGAAGTTTAGGATAAGGGTGGCCGATCCCAAGTAGTTGGGACAAAGAAGAAGAAGATTTATACATTTACACAAAAAAATAAATAAATTATTATTATTAGTATGATTATTTATTATTACATTTTTTGAGTTATAATTTTGGAACTCCCAGAGATTTTTTCTAGTTGCGCTAATGGCTGATGGCGTTAATATTAATCAACCAATCGATTGCTAATTTATCACAGTGCCTTTACCAACAAATTCGATTGTAGCTTGTGTCAAGTCCGACATAATACGAAACGCATTATCGGCAATAGCGACATCGTTGGACGTCGTGATCGCATTTTCAGTTAACGTTTTAAACAATTTTTTTAAATCGTCAGTATTCATCATAAATACTTTAAAAATAAACAGGATCTAAATTATATTAAAAATCACGAACGCACAAAAATACATAAATATTTTAACTTACTCGTAAATATTTACGATCATACATGGGAATCAAATAATCAGTACAGTCATGACAATATAACCACGACAACCGTTGCTCTTAAGCCGTAGAAAAAAAAGGGTCTTTTACCATATCCATTCATAATACATAAATCACATTTATTATTTTTAGGTGTTGAAGCTAAAAGTGTGGAAATTTACGCGGCTGTTAAATATTTTAATACGTGTATATTTGTTTATAGTACATTAATTAGTGAATGGATATTATACAATGATCTATGGCCATTTAGTTACAATATGGATCATAACCAACAATGTATCTATTTAAATAAAGACGATAATGGTTTCTACAATTTGGTTGTACAAGTTAAAGGGTATTAAAGTAATGACTATTCAAAAAACTCATGTAACATACTGCAATATTCAGTTTGAATTTAATAAAAATATTTTTATTACATTATTAATTCTATAATAACAATAATATAACGTAAAAAATGTTTAGAAATAAATAAATAATTTTATTATAAATTTATTAAGTACGATTATTAAATTATTTTGGACAATCATAAATGATTATTTGTTTTTATTTATTTATTAATAAACCCAACCTTGAAACCGTATGAAGAAATAAAATTCTCGTACTTATCGAACATCTATATATAATAATATAAAGAGTTAATACTTTACAAATACTCTTTATGTAGGTAACAAGGTCACTCCGAAATGACGGCATCAACGCCGGGGCATAATACACTAAACAGAAAACAAATTACTCTATAAATATAAAGTTAAGATATGATACTAATCAAAACATTTTTAGCTTCTATGCGAAGCTGAGAAGGTATTAATTTTACAATGATTTTTTTTTTTTTTTATGCTTGTTGCCACTTTTTCTCAGCTCTCACTGGACCGATTTCTTTAAATGATACGTTAAAAGATCACAAATCGTATCTAGTCGAATATATTACTCTTTAAAATTGAAAAAATTTCCCTCGTTCCCCGTAAAAGGGGAAAATCTCCAAAAAAATTACAATTTTTAAAATCGGTAAATATTGTCATTTTTTTCACTTTTTTTTCTTAAAACTTACATAACTATTTCAAAAATCAACAAGTGAACATAATTTTTTTTATATTAAAACCTTAGATATTTCCCTTTTATTTGTCATAATTTTTTTGAAAATCTAACACATAACCTGCTCACAGGAGGGGATTTAAAATAGCAACTTTTTTACAAAAACTAACATCTTCAACTTAACTTTTAAAAATGTTCTAGAAATATTCACAGTTTTTTTTAATCTTAAATTAAAGCTTATATTATATAATTTACTATGAAAAAAAAAAATTCGAAATATACATTTTCTTCTTGGTGAAAATGGTTACCGTATTCAAAAATATGCTATTTTTGTGTTAAAATTCTGAGTTTTGACACACTGACTTTCATGAATATTATATAATTTAATTGTAATGTACTTTATTATAAAAAAAAAATTTGACCTTTGGTCTTGTCTTCGTGGTGTAAATGGCTACCAAATGCTATTTTTATGTGAATATTCTGGATTATTTTTTTACATTTTTAACTTTATAATGCTTTAACTTATTGAAAAGTGTATTGATCAATACAATTTTTTTATAAAAAATAATATTTATATCCCTCTTTCATTCGACATACTTTATCTTAATCAGGATATAAATAAGGAAATAGGAGATAATGTAGCTTTTGGAATAATCCACCAATTTTTCTACACTTTTACCACTTTCTACAGATTTGCATCGAAGCGTTTTTTATGATAATGATTTTAATAACTGTCAGATATCATCTATACTGGACCCAACTATGCCACGTCACCACTGTTTAGCGACCTCCTTGTGCTGTGTAGGGTTTTTAATTTTGAGATCAATGTAATAAACATTAAATTTAATCAAGAATGAATAATTTTTACAGAATATTTATTTCTTTTTTTTTTTACGTATAATTAAAACTTAAATGAATATATTTAAACACAAATATAACTATGAGTGCGTCGCTGATGGTTCAGCGGTGGAATGTAGAATGATTATACTACAATAAACACATTGCCGGCCAGATAAACAAACATTAATATAAAGATACAATGTTATATATTAACTCGCGATAACAAATACAATGATCTCTTGTACAACAAGTTTATCACTTTCATGTAAGTTAAGTTTACACGTTTATATTTGAAAAATAATACACGTAAAGCTTAACTATTGAAGGTAATTTACTTCCAATAATTTGATTACAGTCACTTTTAATTAAAAAAATTTTGTCTTGATCACGTAGAATTATATTTGATGTTGATATCGAAGCCATATTGAAAAATAGTTTTTCAGATTGTTTTACGTATTATTTTAGTAAATATAATAACACTGACAATAGCACACTAATCGTTTGTAACATTAAAAAGTTATACATTTATGATATCACTTTTAAAGAATTGTTTATTTATTAAAGTACCATTCATAATTATTGTTTATGTTTAAGTATAATCCTAAAATTTCATATTATAGAACAACTCATTAGTAAGTAAAACTTAAAAGGAAAATTTTTTTAAATATTTATTGTTTTGGTGTTACATAATCAATGATTTTTAATGTTCTTTTAACTAATTATTGTAGAGAATTTTACAATTATTAAATAAATACACAAAGTAATAGTTATAGTAAGTTAAATTATATATTACAGCCCTTAATCGTATCCTTAGAAATCTTTTCAATGAAATATTGGTAAAGAACTTTAAAAAAAAATGTCATTTAATAAAAATACGTTTCATAACTTTCGAGTATGGTAGTACGGGTTAAACTCAATTAATCGATATCAATTGTTATACATATGCTTATTATACCTATTGAACCACTTTAGAAGGTAAGACTGAAAAAAACAAAAAAATACCCTATATGATGGAGAATCACTCTAATGTCAATCCTTTAGTATTTAAAGCTGACTCTAACTGCCTATAATTGTCTTATTACTACAACTACAACTTTATATTAGGTATAGTATAATAAATATTGAGAAATTCATTAAAATTAAATTCATACTTCTTAATATAATGTTAAAGTTCGATAAATATGTGAAACTTTTCTAAGCACCATATAATTGTTCTTATATCTAATATTATTGAATTGTACTCACTTTATTTATACAAATATAATACTAAAGTTATTATTTTTTTGTTAATAAAGTGAAATAGTTATTTTAGAACTACTTAAACTGCTGTTAAATACAGCTGAATAAGTTTGATATTCCAAACGACAATAAATTATGCACTTGTTATTTGTGACAAATTATAATTTGAAATAAATTAAAATTAAATTCATACTTTTTGATTTAATGAAGTTAAAATTCCATAAATGTGTAAAACTTTTCAAAGATTTTAATAGATTTGGCTTATTAAAGCAAATACAATTCTAAAATAATTTTTTTTGTTAATTAATGCTTATTTTAGATCTACTTAAATTATTGTTACATTCAACTGAATTTTTTTTATATTTCTTATGATAACTATTTATAGATTTGTTTTTCGCGTGAAATTAATAATTTTTATTTGACATTTTTTGATATTAAATATGTTATTACAATTATTACATTTATATTAATTACCACAGGCAGTTAATTAAATAGACTGGAGGCTATTTTTCTGAAATAAAATCTTATAATATAATTTTTGGAAATAATATATTTATGTATTTTTTATTTTAACTATAACATAACGATATTTTGTGTTTATTAATATCATTTATTTTTCTTATTACATTTGACGTATACTTCGGGTATACAGTTAAGGGGCCATCCATAAATTACGAATTTTAGAACTTTTAAACTCATCCCCCCGTCATTGTCACATTTTTAGAAACCCCTCCCCTGATGCGACGTCACACATTTTTCAAACTTATGCATGTATTTAAAAATAAACTTTTCCATTAAAATAAATAAACTGTCACTGTCACTTAGCGAACGTATACTATTAGCGAGGCGAAACAATCGTGTGCGTGCGGATACAGTTCAGCTGCGATCTTATGTACTGGTTTTAGACGACCGGCAGCGTCGTCCATACAGTAAAATATTAGTATATTACTATATTGGGTAGTTTATTTTTAGAATTGACTACGTGTACGCTCGTCGGTATCCGATTGCCATAATGTTATAATCGCTATTATCATACTTTTCATTTCTATTTTCTACTGCGACCTTCAAAATAATAATATGTGTATTGTGTTTTATTTAATTATATTTAATTTGAAAATTTTTTATATCTATAACTAGTGGTATTATATTTAAAATCGCACCCCCACCACCAGCACCCACAAGCCGCCACTGAGTGTGAGACAATCTCATAGCGAGAGTGCTTAATTATTTATAAATATAAATCAAGTTCGAAAATTTTTTATTTACATATAAATTTCGCGTTTTATTATTTTAAATTTTAACATGTGACGTCACAAAACTTTTGACCCCTCTGTCACTTGTCAAACTATGTCATATTACGGTGATACCCCTATCCCATTAACGTGTGATGTAATTTATGGATGGCCCCTAATTAGTAAAATTTAATAAAACTGACTTTTAATAATGGAGTTTTATTAATAGAATAACACTCTTTTCTAGAATGGTCTTTTACAAAGGTAGCAATCTAAGGTACTCCTTGTACTTCTAATGGTTATAGCTGTCGATATCATTAAGTACAGAACGCTGTTGCAAAGTTTGACTAACCAATCCAAGACCTACTTATGGTAAGTTGATTAGCTAATACTGGAAATTTCAAACGAGGGCCCAAGTTTGACTTATTAGAATTCTTTATATCTATAAAACCACTCCTTATACTTGGCCGTGACAATCACAACAATAGAATTATTTGTAAAAAAACATCTTAAAAACATCATTCTTGATACAATCACATTTGCATGTGCCCATATCTCTGTCTCCCATAACATCACTGTACCGTTTATTAGACATATATATATATTATTGACACAGTGACATACAACAATACTAACAGGAGGGCGGACTACACACATAAACACTCCTGCAATTCACGGCCAATGTGCCATAATAACATATCCCTATCGACAGTTGACCTTTTAACATCATTGCGACCACTACTCTTGTCTTATAATTAACTTAACTTTTCTACCACGTATATAGTGTGTGTGTGTCGCCGTCAGCTCGTTGTTAACCAAGAGTGTTATATATATATATATTGTAGTGCAACCCTTGGTAGTTCCTCTAAGGGAATATAAATTAAACAGGAAACCTCAGTACCTAAGGTAGATATAGCCTAGCCAGCTATCCCCTTAGAATACTGTTGACGGGTATTTAGGCTCAACCCCNTGTAGTGCAACCCTTGGTAGTTCCTCTAAGGGAATATAAATTAAATAGGAAACCTCAGTACCTAAGGTAGATATAGCCTAGCCAGCTATCCCCCGTTGGTCCCTTAGAATACTGTCGACGGGCATTTAGGCTNGCCAGCTATCCCCTTAGAATACTGTTGACGGGTATTTAGGCTCAACCCCTTAATAGCGACGTAACATTCTAAAAACACAAATGAAAAATAATAAATGAATATGATTTTGTATTTTCAATCAAAAACAACAAAATTTAATAGTATTTTATAAAAATAATGCAATATAAGTACAATTACAAAATATTGTTATAAAGTGGCAGCATATTCAGTGGACGCTGACAATCAACATTCAGACGACAAGCTTTTTTCTCTTTCTTATATAATATAATTTATCGAGTATGCTACTCCCATTTTTGTCGTTAAAGAATGATTTTTTCATGAAAATTTATAAATTAAAATTTAATTTATTTTTATTAACCTTTCTAAATATCAAGTATTTGTAAGAAAAAATTATTTCTTAGGGAAGAATTTGTGATAATCAAAATAGAACGATATGAGGTTATTATGCCCAAGTTGGGATGTTGGGATTCGGTCAATTGATTATTATCGAGGTTCTAACGGGGTTGTAGCGTTCCAGAGTTTAAAACAATAAAGATAAGTAGATGTAAAAAGAAATAATTAAAGTTCCTCTTTAATGAGGTGATCTTAAATAGTCTGATTAATAAGTCCCTGCAAAACACTAAGTCAACGAATAGGTTGTGGCTGTCTTACGAATACCATGTTATGTAATTATATATGTACAGTCCAAACTAGTCAGTGATAATTAATTAAATTTAAAATTTAATATAAGTCTTTAATCTATTGCTTTATCGTTCTTTACTCTGATTTTTAATCCTAATAATTGGATTAATGTAATGACATTGTCCCATTAAACCATTATCCTTTTTATAGTAGAAAAATATTAATAGGTTCCCATTTAACTTTCAAATTTACCCCTAATGTAAATCCTAAATAATATTTTCTTTCAATAACATTGATATTCACAATATTTATAAGATATTTAAATTATTTTTTTTCCACACATTTGTAAGAAAAAAATTATTATTTAACGATAAATGAGGGTAGTATACTTTATAAATCACAGTGGATACAACCAGGATCGCATTTAGGGGGGGGAGCATTGAGGTCATTTGCCCAGGCGGCAAAAATCTTAATAGGTATACAATTTTTAAAAATTAATTATTTTTATTTAATTTTAAATTTTTTAAACAGAACAATTTATTTTTATAAAACAAAAATTTCTATTTCTAAAAAAAAATATTACTTTATTACTTTCCAACTTAAAACGTGTACAAAGATATAAATGTAAAAGAAGATATATCAAAGCTGTATAACAACGTAGACTACAGTTAGTAGTTAGATAATAGCATTGATTATACATAGTAATATTTATAATTAACAGCACTATAAAGAAAGTAGGCAGCAATTTATTTGATATATGTTTTTATCTAATTTTAACAAAGTATTGATATTTTCTCCCTTAAACTGGTTTTGTGGATGTCGTCCACCGTTGATAGTCGATTATTATGAGAATACTAAGAAAGTTAAAACAAAATGATTATCTAATAATGTGTTGTATACAGACAGCTCCTTGTGTATAGTAATCGACTACGAGTGACCGACTTAATATGTTGAGGCGTTTTTTTTTATTTGTATATTATATTATTTATTAACGTATTAAAATGAGTAACGGCAGAAAACGTTTAAGTGGAAGTGCTTATAAAAAAGTTGCTAAATTAAAATTAGAAAAAGAACAAAAAGTCATTTCTCAAACCGCAAAATTAACTTCATTTTTTGGCATTCAACGACCATCAATCTCCAATTCGTCAAGTGAAATAGAGACTACAGCTGAACAGATTTCGAATGAGTCGAGAGATAAAAAGTAATTTAAAAATCATATGTTAACTTTTGTAAGTTATTTCAGTTTTATATAAATGAAAAATTTTATAATTTGTTTAGTGATGTGATGGTGTCACGTTACCATTATTGTGAGAATTATTTTAATAAAATACAGACAGCACATCCGCTTCCTGAGACTGATGAATTAACAAATAATATTTATTGCCAAATTGGCAATAGTTCTAATTATTATAAAAACCCAATAGACCTGACCATCGTGGTCAGTCGACTCCAGTGCCTTGTGTCATTCATCAGCCTCAGTACTCGGTTGTCGCTGTCCGGCTTACTGTTTAAAGTAAAGTCTTTGTTTATTCCTTTTAAAACCTATCTACTCTCTTCCACAACATTTCAGAGTACTTGTGTCTTGCACTTCGTCTGCACCTCGTACTCTGTTATTTTCACTCACCTGGTACGCCTAGTATTTGTGTCTTGCACTTCGTCTGCACCTCATACTTGGCTACCCCTATTCTTTGTCCTCTTCTATACCCAAAGTATTTGTGTCTTGCACTTCGTTTGAACCTCATACCTTGGTGTTACCCTTATTCCCTTTCTATAACAACAGCCTTTTGACACCCACAGCTAACCCGGAGTGTCAGCCAAGCACGGTGACTGCTGTATGACAACACGCACGTGAATACCTAGACAGCAGGCACCACATCCTCATCTTTATTTTCGTACACATTACCTCTTCTTATACACTTTTCATTTATTGTGTTACGACAGTGAGCTTAGTCTACAGAGTCCTCTTGAAGCTCTAGCAAATGAAAATCAAATAATTGAAAATTCGGAAAAACAATTAATAAATACTTCTTCTATTATCTCAAGGTAAGGCGTTCAAATCAAATAGAATACTTTAAGCTCAATCTTAGTAGTCTAAAATATGTATAACATTTCACGTTCACATTTATTATTTTCTCTTATCTAGATATATTATTTTTGATGTATTAATAAAAAATTATTATATAATGAACTCAGTATATGAACATTAAGATGAATCAAAATATTATCGTTGATTCATTTTTCAACAGCATCTTGGCTTAAAGACCTTTTCGTGCCTATTTATTAGGGGGCAAAATATATGCAATTTTTGGTTTTTTTTTATTAAACTATTGGCCAATTGGCGAGGCGTGAGAGTTTTTCCCGTAAAGCATTTTTTTGGGCTAAAAAACAAGTCGCGAGCAGACCTCTTAATATCTTTANATATGTATAACACTTCACGTTCACATTTATTATTTTCTCTTATCTAGATATATTATTTTTGATGTAATAATAAAAAATTATTATACAACGAACTCAGTATATGTATATTAAGATGACCCAAAATATTATAGTTGATTCATTTTTCAACAGCATCTTGGCTTAAAGACCTTTTCGTGCCTATTTATTAGGGGGCAAAATATATGTAATTTTTGGCTTTTTTTTATTAAACTATTGGCCAATTGGCGAGGCGTGAGAGTTTTTCCCGTAAAGCATTTTTTTGGGCTAAAAAACAAGTCGCGAGCAGTCCCCTTAATATCTTTATTTGGTAAAAAAAATAAGTTCCTCAAATNACCTCTTAATATCTTTAGTTGGTAAAAAAAATAAGTTCCTCAAATTTTTTTTGAAGAAAAATATTTTATAGTGCTTGCTAGTCGTAAATTTGTGTAACTCGGTAGTAGAGATCAAAATGCCTAAAAATTTCGAACAAAAAATAGTTTTTTTCTGAGGTCTCGAAAAAAATGGAACAACTAGAATTTTTTTAATAATTCATTAAAAAATAATACATTTTTTAGGTCTAATGTAATAAGCAGGAATTTTATTTCCGTCTAAATCTTACATTTTGTTTGAATAATATGTGAAATACATGTAAAATGAATCGATTTTTTTAAATTGATGAGATCATAAAGATTTAATAAATAATGTTACAATATAATGAGATTCAAAATAGAATAAAATCATTTTTGACATTACCATCAAGCTAGATATACAACTATGGTGTTGTTTATTTTTCTTGATGATTATAACNTCCCCTTAATATCTTTATTTGGTAAAAAAAATAAGTTCCTCAAATTTTTTTTGAAGAAAAATATTTTTTAGTGCTTGCTGGTCGTAAATTTGTGTAACACGGTAGTAGAGATCAAAATGCCTAAAAATTTCGAACAAAAAATAGTTTTTTTCTGAGGTCTCGAAAAAAATGGAACAACTAGAACTTTTTTAATAATTCATTAAAAAAAAAATACATTTTTTAGGTCTAATGTAATAAGCAGGAATTTTATTTCCGTATAAATCTTACATTTTGTTTGAATAATATGTGAAATACATTTAAAATGAATCGATTTGTTTAAATTGATGAGATCACAAAGATTTAATAAATAATGTTACAATATAATGAGATTCCAAATAGAATAAAATCATTTTTGACATTACCATCAAGCTAGATATACAACTATGGTGTTGTTTATTTTTCTTGATGATTATAACAAAACGAAAAAAAAATACATTATGTCATGTTTTCTAGTAGTTTTAGTAAAAAAAAAAAGTATTAACCCAAATGAGTGAGGACTAAATCCAAAATAATTTTAACTTAACTAAGTCCTAATTTCAAAAAATATTTTAAGAATTATAGCAAATTTTAAAATTACAAAAAAATTATTATAAAATCAATACAATATTCCTCGATCCGTTTGGAATATAAAATAAAAATAGCTTAAAGGTACGTAGTTCATAGTTGTACTAACACGTTCGCTGAGGATCTATTTTATATACACATACACATTACATACATTACATACACATACACATACACAATTGAAGGTGAATTGACATCTAAAATAAATTATAATGAGGTAATTGAAAAATGTTCGTGTATTAAGAGTAAAAAAAAATTATAATTCTTTTTCTTGCTTATTAACCTGTTATGTTAATACATGACATTTATAAATAATTTTTCTATTGTTAGTATTCCTAACTTTTGTAAAATAATTNTTAAGTCCTAATTTCAAAAAATATTTTAAGAATTATAACAAATTTAAAAATTACAAAAAAATTATTATAAAATCAATATAATATTCCTCGCTCCGTTTGGAATATAAAATAAAAATAGCTTAAAGGTATGTAGTTCATAGTTGTACTAATACGTTCGCCAAGGATCTATTTTATATACACATACACATTACATACATTACATACACATACACAAATGAAGGTGAATTGACATCTAAAATAAATTATGATGAGGTAATTGAAAAATTTTCGTGTATTAAGAGTAGAAAAAAATTATAATTCTATTTCTTGCTTATTAATGCTTATTAACCTGTTATGTTAATACATGACATTTATAAATAATTTTTCTATTGTTAGTATTCCTAACTTTTGTAAAATAATTCAATTATAAATTATCAAATGGCCCATTTTTTACTCTTAAAAAATTTAAAATAATGCTAGGGGCGGCAGTGGCACATTTATAGGGGGTTTATGGGGATTTGACCCCCCACCAAGGTCCTATTGATGTCTAATGTAAACAAGGAAAATTATTTTGAGGGACCTTTTTTTTTTTTTTTTTCAACTAAAAAACCCAACCCCACACTTTTTGGGGGGCGGCAAAATTAAATGCACCGGCCGGCAAAATTCCTAAATGTAGCCCTAGATACAACTTTTGATGTTCTAATAAATTAAACAAAGTTTATATTATTATTTTTTAACATAAATGTATTTTAGAAAAAACAGCAAATTGTATTAATGACCAATATTTTGTTTATATCTAAATGTATATTTCACATTTTTGCTTTGGTACATAGCTAAAGAGTTATTGATTTTACTAACAATTGTGTATACCTATAAAAATGTTTAGCTCTACAAGATACAATAATGATAATCAATACGTCAAAAGAACCCGAATTATATTTAGATGAATCTATTGCCCTCGAAAATTATAAAAATTTATCTGATTTTTTTTCTTTAGAAAAATTTTTCAAAATAATTCATTTTTTTTGCAAGTTAATATTATTATAACTTCTTTGAAAAACATTTAATTTTTATCTTGTTCATTTCAAATAACAAATTTTTCAACCATTTATTTGATTGATCACAAAGTAAAAATACAGTGTGATTTATTAAAAATACTAATTTTCAGGATACTAAGTTGTTTGTTAGAGAACGCCTTTAACTAAGACCTAGTGGACCGTTAATTATATTATATCGGTGACAGCTGATCTCTAGCGTCTCTGCTTTACTCACCTCTGCCCAACCAGAATGGGAAATCGATGGCTTGCGTTTCAATTGTAATCCGTGTACAGTTCTTCGTCGTAAGTCAGTTAGTCTATTGTTTTATGTGGCATCTTTTTTTGTAGCAAGTGCTTTCGCTTAAATGGTAAATTGACCGACCATTGTACACCATTTTTCTTATTATTTGTTTATTGTACCCTCGTACTCAAAATTCCCGTATTCTTTTTTTCCACCAGTGATTGGGACCTGACTACCACTAAATAACTTCATTGCCGTAGTCGCTTTTCCGCCGTCTGTTTTCATTTGCCATAACGTGCCTGGATCTACACTCTGACTCATGATACTCAGATGTTCGACACCATTACCACAAGATCTCATACAGTCCACTCATTACTATCAACAACTTCATCAATCAAGCTGAGTTTTTATATTATTTTTTAATGTCATTTATTATTTGCTTAATTAAATTTAACTATTTTGTTTTATGCCGCTTCGCCGGCCATTAGTATTTAAGGGCCCCCCGTTACCCCTTAAATTTAAGATACTCTTTGAAAAACTTCTAATATATGTGTTTATTTGTTATTTAAGTATTGTCTACTGTCGTTGCTTATTGGTTGTATCGTCAGTCGTCATTCCTCAGGTGACCCACTCCCGCTTTAATAATAGCGATTTAAACAGACTTAAAATAAAATAGCGGTGCACAACTAGCCGTCCTACGGTCTAGCTGCTTCGTACGAAACAAGGTTGTGATTAATCGCAACGACTTCATAATTTTACCGTTAAAAACGATCAAGTCGATCAATCGAAGAATAGTAAACGGCGAAGAAAAGTTGAAGGTGTTGAAATGTCATTAAAGGATTAATTTTTAAAAGAGAGGGATCTAGAAGTTCGTGATAATGGACCTCTTCTATCACAGAAAGCTGAGGATTTTGTAAGAAAATAAGGAGAACATTTTTAAGGCAATAGAGGGGTGATTTTGCAAATCGAAGTAAGAGAAGGAATTGAATAACTACAAATAGTGGACATATAATACCAAATAGTTGTAATTTATGAATTCATAAAATATAGATAAAACAAATTTCTAACTTAAGATAAGTCAGACACTACGTGGATAATATTACTAGACAATTCTTTATTTACTATGGATATAGGCACTTATTCAATCGATGGTAATTTTCATGATAAAATAAAGCTTACAACCAACATATAACGTATAAAAATTTTATAAACTTCTACTTCATTCTTTATAAGATGATTTTCAATTGAAGTTGTAAAATAAACACGAAATACGATTATCAATCATCTTAACTAAAAGTTTTTATGAACGATCGTTTATATCATTGCAACAGCCGCTACATAATTAAGTCTTTTTCTAGTAGGTCCTTTTTAAAATTACGTATGAAGTTATAATTCCTGTTTAAAACAAATCTACAATTTTAATATTGTTTTTTTGAACTTCAGAACAAAATTAGTTAAATTCAAAAATAAAAATTAAACTGAAACTTACAACACCCGACAGAATAAGTTGATTTTTATGAAAGTTTATAGTTTAAAAATGTTAAACTTGTAATTTAAAGAAAATATATTTTTTCCTTCTCTTGAAAAATATGTTTTTTTTAAATACATTTATCTATATTTATTATATTAAATATGTTAATCAAAAGAATCTTTAATTAATGACAATATATTAATAACGAATTAATAATAACATAAAATATTATTACAATACATTAACTCTTAAGTTTAAACTTTATAACATATAATTTTTATTAATAATTTTAAGTACTTGTAATTAAATTGTAACATTAACTGAATAAATAGAACCAACTGCTTGTTTTGTACTGATATATATAAGAATAGAAAAAATTATAAGAATCTATCTGTAACTGCATACAGTCCTCTAAATCAAGGTGATCGTCCATTATACAATAATAGCACCTGTAGATAAAATAAAACAATTTTAATTTGATTATTTTTGTTGTAAAACCATTTCATATTAACGTTGGACATAAGGATCTCCAATAATTGTTACTTCATAGGCCCATTTGGGCTCCAAATCATCAACAACCCACTTCACTCTTTGTGGATATCTAAAACATAGATCATAACCTACATTAAAATCTTCCTGAAAAAAAAAGATAATTTTAAACTTTAGTATCTATTTAATCAATATATGTAAGTCTTTGTGTCTACTTACATACCTCGATATTTTTAATTATTCTGGGGAAAACAAAAATACACTATTTTATATAGCTTTAATTAGAATTTTATTTTATTCTTTATTATCCGCCGACAAATATTTTTTAAGAATAAAAATATTAAAATATTTCAAAGTTTAAAGCATTTTGTTAAAATAAATGTAAATATTATTAATATATGAATAAAACCAAAATAAAATCTCAAAATGTTGATTACTACTCAATTTTGTCATATTATAGTTAAGACAATAAAACAATATGTTTACTTATTAGAATTTATAACATTCCCCCCTCCATTATCTGTAATTATCTTGTCAGAATTACACTTTTTTTCCAAAGAAGCATATAGTACCTTTTCTAATTTGCGAGTTTCCACGAAGTCTGCTCCTTCAGTAGCTGCTATTTTAGGCTTTGTCATATCAAGTTCGTGAACATTTTCATGGAACTTCTCACATCCCTCATGAATATTATTAAGCTTACTGTCTTCAACATTCACTCTTTCTTTTGTCACATGTTTTAACGTCGTCACGATTTTAGTTTCTGAATCCTCGTACTGCATTATGTCAGTTTTCATTTCAGGATTACTAACTGGACTTAAGTAACGCTCCATGCCTTCTAATTAATAACACAATAAATTGCAATAATATTTATCGTCTCAACAATAATTTGTCTAATTATAGTTCATTAAAAAAAAAATTATTAATGAATTTTTTAATACTGATTATATAAATCTTCATTGCATTTACATTTTCAATTAAATGAGTGTATTAATTCTCTATGTGCGTAAAAACGCTAGATACCGAGAGAATTTTTTTTGTTTATCATGTTTAGCTAAGTTTTATTAAAAAAAATACCTGGACTAGATTAAGCTAAGATACTAAACCATTAATATTACGCTTCTTTTTGAAAAGACAATACGCGATGACTCTCGCCAACCGACGAAAGAATCTTTTTGACTTCATTGTAATGTGATTGTTTGCAAAAAAAATCAATTGGTCAAAATACTTTTAAAATAAAAAATTTATTGTGACTATCAGTAATATTATAAGTACAAAAAACTAGCTCTTCTCGACCAAATTTCAACAACAAATTAATATGTAATTGAAAATAAATATTATTGTATCCATATTAAATAATCCATGGCAACTTGATTTAGTTATTTTATGATTTGAAGACACTTGAATATTAAATTAAGAAATGGTCAAACATAGAATTTTAAAAAAACTATGTTCGTAATGAATAATTTATTTATTATTATAAAATTACATAAAATTTCATTGCTCTAACTTTTGAAAGTATTTACATAATTAAAAAACTGATGTTAATATATAATTATTAAATATTTATATATAAAAAATATCACTTGTTTTAAAGAAGTTAATAAGTATTTCGAAAGTTAATATTTTTAAACATAGATTGGTGATTAGGGTGCATGCTATGTTATTTTTATTCAATAGATAATTTTCAGTCGCATTCCTCCTCTTAAAATTTAGCTCAACTTACAAGTTTAGAGTTCATATAATTAAATAGAAAATTTTATGAGGAATAAAATATTCTATTTTTTAGATTGATTTGTGATCAGAAACTTATAATTACTATTAACATAAAATTTATGAGGAAAACTCAAAATATCATTAAAATCGCTATTTTTTATGTAGTGGCGATGGAAAAAATCTAATTGCAGATTTGAAATCTGCGCAAAAAATGGGTTTAGAAAAGTATATTTTTGACTCTGATGAAAATTCCTCATAGACCATTTATGAATAATTAACAACAAATTATCTTCTGAAAAGTTTTGTATCAAGCTCTTCAATTTTTATACACGTTTTTTATAAAAATAACAACTACTCTATATTTTTCTTTTAATTTCTCTGTAAAAATTACAATACTAAATTATTAAATATCTATTTCATATTACGTTGTATTGCTATAATAGATATTTATTCATATGTTATAATTATAAAGAACTAATAATCAGGAATAATGAAAGAAATAGGAGTTATTTTTGCTTTTGGAATAATCCTTCAATTTCTTAAAATTCAACACATATTCAACACTATCTACAGGTTTGTATTGAAGCATAGTGATAGTGATTTTAATCACTGTCAGATATCATCTATACTTGTCCCAACTATGCCACGTTCATATTGTGCTGCGACCCTACTGTGCTACCGTTTTGTTTAGTATCGTATCTAAGTACGCACAACACTATGTTATAAAGAAATAAGAATGTTAGAACCTCATAAGAAAAAGGCCTTTTCTAAATTTTTTTTTATATTTATATATTTACATACAATTTTTTAAAAATATTTTTATAGAAGAAAAGGTGTAAAACAAGAACATGAACAGAACAGCTCAATAAATATTAATAAAAACTAATTGAAGGGTCTACATTTGCGTACACATAAGATGGATCATGGGAGAATTAGAAAGAAGAGAATTGGGATAATGTGGAATAATGAAAGGGACAGAAGAACGTATAGAACGTTGTCGTGGTCGCATCGCATTTCCGGTGTTACCACCGGATGGCGATCGCGGCGCTTCCTCTTCACATCCGACAGGTAGCGCTATTCGCGGTGGCTGACGTGCGGTGTGAACAGGTCGCTCGGGCACTGGACAAAAAAAACGTAGACTGATTAATTCGATTGTTCGTTTTCCAACTGTCACGTTGACCCATAATAATCAACGGAAGATATCTTTATTTAATTTACTTAATTGTTTAATTAAGATTATTGTTTTAATGGCACATTGGGCAATATTTCTTTGTACACCTGGACATGATATGGCGCTTTTAAAAACACTTTTTTTAGATTACTGATTAATTTGTTAACATTTGGAAACATTTCTCTGACCTTCTCTGCAACCCTGTTCATCATGTAAGCTACACACGTAACGTGAATTAAATTTGGGTAGACAATTTTTAGTGTATCACCGGTTTTTGTCATGTATGGAGCTGCATCCGATAACATTACCAACACTTTTTCGTCATTTCCATCCAACGGCCATAATAATTTTAGTCCATCATTGATAAAACGAGCAACAGAGGAATGATTAATTTTTTCCAAAACTTTGCATGTCAGGAGAAATGGTCGAGTCGGAGTATTTCATTTTAATATTCCCACCAGTAAATTTGCAACGTAACGACTGTTTGTATCTGTAGTTTCATCTACAGAAATCCAAATATTATTTTCACCAATTTCATTTTTAATTTTCGTTAAAGTATTATAGTATTACGGCTCGAGATAATTTTTACGTAACGCACTTTCATCTAGTATATGTTTGCAGAGTATTTTTCTAAAAATGTACGTAATTGAGGAACTTGCATTTTATACCAAGGAATATTAGCTGCTACTAAGACTAGACACAAATCTTTGTTAAAATCATTTAAGTTGTTTTCATTGAGAGTAGCTCCTGATAAAAATAATTGTTTTGATGAAGTATTTAATTTACGTTTTAAACCATTTTTATGGACAACTGTATGTACGTGTTGTGTTACCTGTGATTTTTTGGTGCAAGGAATATTTCTGTAACAAACTTGACAAAAAATTGTTGCACCATTTGTAGTGAAAATCGTTTGTTGGTTATTGTACGACGAAATCCATTGAGCAAATAAACTTTTTAAACTGCTTGAAGTTTTTGGCATATTTGTATGTTATAGACAATAAAATACAGTTATTATAACTTATAGTAATATTAAACGAGCGGGAAGACAATATGTAGCAATAATATATCGCACTAGTGTACGACGAATAGTCGTGACAGCTAACGAATTAAACGATGTGCTCTCGCAATCGATAAGGAATACCTGGAGATTAATTTTTATTAAAACCCAGAAATAAATCATTTAGTGAACATTGTATTTATTAAAGTGCTGATATACGTAAAATATGTTCATTATATGCCGATATTACAAAAATATTCTCAAATATTCTCTAACCCCTAAAATATGGTTTTTTATGCAAAATAATTTTTTTCTAGTGAATTCTGTGTTTCATGAATCGTAAAGATTTCTCACTCCCATTTAAATGCATAGACTAGAAACAAATATGTAAAATCATAAACATCCGACTTCTACTTATAATTATTATTATATTTACTACTCTGTTTACATCAACGTAGAGGGGCATTAAAACAGATATTGTAAAGCAACTCAGGAAAATCAACATTATCACGTAAGAGAGAGAAGAGAAAATTAAGATTAATGTCATGTCTACGATCAGATAAAATGAATACCAAGTTTTTGAAGGATTGAAGAATTGTGAATAATATTCACCTGTCAGAACATAGGCACAAAAACTTTATCTAAACTATTTCGACCGTCTTTTTTTATTAACAGTCAATAAATATTTTAAATTAATTTTTGATAAAAAAATATATATAATTGATTTTAAAACCTTGTTTAGTGAACAAAACAAAAAAAATTGAGTTATGACCTTTATCGTAGATGTCAATATGTTATGAAACTTTTATAGAAGTTTCTTTTAAAAACATCTATATTTTGAAAAGCCTATTTTAATTTTAAACCCTAAAACTATAAAATGCTTGGAAGTATTTAATAAATATTTTATTAATTTAATTAAATTTTTTGGTCTTCGTATTTTAATAATAAAACAAGTCTAAAGAATTAATGTATTATCTCTATGTATAAAGCTATAATTTAAAAAAAATTTTTTATGGCATTATTAGAGTATTGTTCTGAAGTGGATATATATAAAACAATTTTATGCGACCTCAATTACAAAAAAAATATTGTATTTATCTTTAGCAAGTAGTAGTGGTGTTTTTGGATTTGGTGAGGAGGTGGCTAAAGATTTTTGTTCAATATTTTAAAATAAAAAAAAAATTTTTTTAATGACTTTTTTTGGTCAAAAGTACATGGTTTTAATACTGTTACAAAAATATAATAATTTAAATAAATTAAAAGTATTTTTGAAGAAAANGTTACAAAAATATAATAATTTAAATAAATTAAAAGTATTTTTGAAGAAAATTTATTTCAAGATTAATGCCTAAAAAATTAATTTTTCTAAGAATTTTAAATATTCATAAATTTGATTATTTTTGGTATTGAAAAATAAACATTTTAACATCAATTAGCACTTTTATAACATACATTTTTTCAAATATTTTATCAATAAATTGTAGCACACAATCAAAACTATTATTTAAAAATTATTAAATAACACTTAATTAAGATAGTAAGTCATTAAGATCACTTTTATAATATATGTACACTTAACATAAATAATCACTTTTGAAATAATTTTTAACAATAAACTGAATTGCATATCTATTTAATGAAATTATAATCTGTTGAAATAATTATTAGATTACTTAATTATTTTAATAATATATGAATATGTTACAATATACAATATAAACATATTTAATGATTTTCAAAAAGTAATTCATTTAAAATTAAGGTAGATGTAACATTACATCGACACAAAGGACATTGTGGTTTTTTACTAAGTACAGCCCAACAAGATAAACAGAGACATCTATGATCACAAGGTCTGAGAATAACAACAGCAATATTGTTTTCTAGGCATACGACACAAGTTAGTTCAGAAATAGCATTTTGTTCACCTAAAATTTGTATTTATTTTTCAACATATTCTAGGTTAGAAATAATAATCTATGTTGCATTTAATTTGAAAGTGTTCTATAAAACCACCAATTTAAAACCTGTTCTTTAGAATCTTGCATTAAAATTAAGAATAACACATATGACAATAAAAATTCTTTCATCTTTATTTAAGCAACATAATTTCTTTTAAAATATCTTTGATTTAAATAGAAGTTTCATTACTTTGAAAACGTTATGCTAGGAAATGTGATGAGCTTTATTTATTTTGACTTTAATGACTCAATGTTGTATGACTTTAGAAACATTTACAGACTGTTAATTTAAGACTATTATATTAATTGTAGCCTATTAAAATTTTTGAGATATAACATTTAAGGAAAATGATAAAATGAAAATATAGTTTCTAGATATAGGATTTTATAGTTAGTGTTAATAAAAAAAAAGAAATATTGTATAATTAAAACTAAATTTATAAAAATAAATCTTTTAGAATTGAATTTTATTTTTATCCAAAAAACCAAAGGTACAACTAGGGGGGCTTAGCACCTAAACTAAGAATTAGCCGCTTTCAAAAAATTAAAAAAATTTTATATATTGCTATATAAAAAAAATTTAGGGTGGTGGAAAAATTAATTTGAAATCCCAAAAAATTATATTCTAGTTGCTACTATTAAAACAACTTACTTTGTTTTAAGTCAACCATACTTTGAAACCTTGATAAAACATTTTCTAGAACTTTATTTTCATCATCATTCCAATATGAATATTTTTTCAACCTATTAACTTCATTACTTAAAATTTTTAAAAAATTCTTTGGATTGAATCTACTTTTCAAATGGTACAATGGAAAAGCTACCTAGATTTTCAAAACAAATAATATCTGAATAACGATAAGAGACTAAAATCTCCATGTTTATATGTTAAATTAATTATTAAAAATAAAAAACTAGTACATGTGTGTAACGTACGCCTCAAATACATGCATAATGTAATAACTAAGAAAAAGAAAGTGACTTTACTTAAAAAAATTTTCCATCCTGAATTTTTACTAATCAATTTAGTTATGATAATGAGTTACTAAATAATTAAGTTTGATCAAAGATGAAAACTTCTAGGTTTAAGATTATTAAACAATATAGCTGTTTATGAAGTTACTATAAGTTACTACCATGGAATAATACTTACAATTATATGATGTTTCTTTTGTACATAATCAATATCTTGATCCAAATACAATTTTAAGTAATGTAATAACTTTGTTGGATTTTTTTCATTGTAAACATAGTATAAAAGTAATTGTGAAATGATAATTAATCTTCTTTTAGGCTCAGTAAACATTTCATACATTGAGTTTAAAAATTCAATTATTGGAAATTGTGAATTAAGAAAACATTCTACTTTTAATAAGTGTAGCCAACTACTAAAATTTCCATTTGAAACCGCTTTCTTCAAATGATGTTTTGCTGTTAAATAGTTCTTTAAAGAAATATATTAATTAGAAAATTAATTTATTTGGTAATAAAAAATAACAAGAATTAATACTTTATTTTTCATAAAATATTTCCCAAGTACTGCATAAATTCTGATATTTAGTGTTTCTGAAAGCTTTTTTATAAGAGTTTTCATAATGTCCGAAGACATAAATTTCTGAGGAAGGTCTAAGTAAATTTCAAAACAATTATACAGTAATTTGACATCATTTTCGGCTAAATTATATACTTTTCTAAAAATAATTATTTACAAAAATTAATTAAAATTATATAATGTAAAGTCCATAAAAACCAAAAGGAATTTATATTAATATTTTAATAATTAATAAAAGACAAATAGTAACTAACAAATAATTTTTTGTTTACTAAATGTTCTTCTTTATTGAACATATTATTGCATAAAAATATATAAATTATATTGTACTTATTGATAGCTTTTTTCCGCTATTTAGCATTAAATATGTTAATCAATAATTCTTTATATTTAGTTAAAACTATAGAAGTCAATTAGAGTTGTAATAATACTATACTTAATAGTAATGTACTTAAGATTTGTATGTAATACAAAACTTCTAAATTTAATGATTAGAATATATTTGTGTTTCTAATATAAGAACATTCCCTTTACATGTACACCAAAAATTTCAAATATATCACTAATAATTTAGTAGAACATAATAAAAGACATACTACTTTTAAGATATTATCATTGAAATAAAAAGTTGCATCATTAAAATTTTTTTCTTTATAATTAACATTAATAATTGAATAATATTTGATGGGCAATAAAAAGTCTTTCTTACAATGCTAGATTAGATGCAAGATTGTAATATTTTTCAGAATCGTGTGGTTTATTTTGTATTTTTAATACAAATCCAGCTTCCATGTAAACTTTAGATGCTCTGCTTAGAGCTGCAGGATTTTTTTGATAAAAACTTAATTTTTCAGCAGCTTTTAATTCTTCCCTAAATGGAAGAGTAAACTTTTGTTCATATCTTCTCACTCTGCCTTTTGCTTTTAACCACATATCAATCCATCTTACTTCAGTATCATTAAGATTACGACTTATTTCAGCTAATTCTAATGCTATTTTATTGCCTGTCGGAGAATATTCTAAGAACACTTTACATTTAATACCATTAAAAGCTGATACTTCAACTTTATTCATTTTAAAAAGTGGCTTGATTTTGGAAAGAATCTAGTGAAAAAATACAGTTATTTTTATTATTAATATCTACTTAAAAAATATTGGAAATTTGGAGTGTTGGAATGTAGCTTAACTTGATTTTCAAGTTCAGCAACAAAACTACTTATACAGTAATTTTAGTATAAATTACTAAAATAAAAATTAATTTTAATTTATTATTTAATTGTAATTATAAAAAATTACTCATTACTGAATTATGAGTAATTTCATTTTAATGTTTAAACTCAGTAGCTTAATTAGAATATAAATAGAGGTTATAATAAAAAAATATTATGACTACCTCCACATTGTATCAAAATGTCATCATTTTTTCAAGATCTTCCTTCTTGGGAGAGGTTTTAAGCAAGAGTTTTCCATAAACACACCAAAGATAATAATAAAAAAGATTCAAATAATATTGTTTAATTATCTTTTAATTTTACATTAATTTACCTCTTAAGTTTTTATTTTAAAATTTAATTAAATGAAATAAGTGAAATCAGTAGCTTATTTAAAAAGACACAAAGGTTTATGCACTTCTCACTCATTGGCAATGTAATGCAAACTTCAAAAATTTTTTTTTTGTACCTGTTACCACTTATTTTCAGCTATTATTGAACCAATTTTGATGAACAAAACATCAAAAGAACACAAATCAGATATAAAACTTTAAACTCATCTATACCATTAATTATAAAAGAAAATGGTAGCACAGTGGTGGAGACTCAGCAATTGGGATAAGTATAAATCGGTGTCAGTGAGTTAATTCTTAAGCTCGAGCCTATTGAAACAATATCAATTTATTATAACTTTTACATATAAATACATGTTTTTTACTATTTAATACCAATTTGAAATAAGAGGAATTAGAAAAAATCTAATTGTATATTTGAAAACAGTGCAAAAATGGGTTTGGAAAAGTTTGATGAAAATTCCTTGTAAACCAGTGCAAAATTATTTTATACAAATTTTTGCATCAAGTCCTTCCATTTTTATATACATTTGTCATAGGAATAACGAAATATACAACTGTTTTATAATTTTTTCTAGTTTTTCCTTAAAAATGATAATATTAAATTATTGAATACAAATTTCATACTAAATTTAATTACTATAAGTAGTTATTCATATAGTATACTTATAAACCAAAGAACTACTAATCAGGATATAATTAAGAAAATATGATTTAATGTTGCTTTTGGAATAATCCACCAATTTCTTAAAATTAAACGATATCTACAGATTCATATAGAAGCATTTCTTATGATAGTGATTTTAATCACCATCATCAATACTTGTTCCAACTATATGACGTTTACACTGTGCGCGACCCTACTATGCTACCATTTTATTTACTACTGAATGATCCAAAAAAGTATAACCCAATATATGTTATAGACTTGGAAATAGAGTCACTAGAATAAAAGTACATTTTTTAACTATTTTAATTAATTTTGTTTTTATTATAAAATTAAAGTATTTTTATTAAAAGCTACATTGGGTAATTTTCAAGTAGTTTAATTAAATATTTATTGAGTATTTTGAATCTAAATAAATTACCAAAAAAGTAGTTTACCCAACACTGGAATTAATTATAAATGTTTTTACAAATTACCATGCTAATATCATGATCCATATAGATTTTGATGTATGCTTGAGTAGCATGTGCAATATGAAAACAAGCACATGATATCTGTTGATAAAATTCATCTGATTGTAAATTTTCTAAATATTTTATTGTGTCCTCAATGTAATTTAAAGCTTTTACAAAATTACCTTCCAGAAATGTTTCAAAACAAATAACTAACTCTATAGAGTATCTAAAAATGTAGTAACATAATTATCATTATTTAAAATAGTCTTAAAATTATTAAATACTAACCTGTCAGTACTAAATCTATTTTCATTACTAATTAATTCTCTTTTTTGCTCTAGTATATTTATAATATCATTTATTTTGTATCTACTTTTCCTAGTTTTTTCATAAATATCCCATGAAAATATACTTTCATATTCTTGTTTTATATTATTTAATAATGTATTAGAACTATAATTTAGAATGACACTGTCATTCTCTAAATTAAAATTTTTTAAACATTCTGTTAGCTCCAAGTTATTATTTTTTATTGCCATTTCTATTTTTAATTTATAATAGTATAAAATTAATAAATTTAAATAGATGCTTTATTTATTTCTATTACTATTTTATGAACAAGACATGAAGATTAAAATCTAACTTACTCAAACAAACCAAAGCGACTTCCTATTTTAATTGTTCAAATTTATATAAATAAAATATGTGTAGTATATTAAATTCAGATAATTATAACAAATAATAAGTAATTATCACATAGAGAACTTTAAAGCTAACAATTAATTAGAATATGTTCATGAGATAAAATATGAAACTCAAGAAAGTAAATCAATTCCTCCATGTACAAATAAATAGTAACCTACTATTAAAGTTAAATAATTTTATTTAAAAGTTTTATCACAGAAAAAATTTTTTTCTGTCTTTATTATTAATTTTTATCTTGTTATTTCATCGATAATGTCAATAGCTCCTAAAATTAATGCAGTAACATTTATCAGTGTCGCAATGTGATGTATGATTTTTCTCTTTATAAATTTTGTTTCTTAATGTATTCCGAACTGTGAGAATACTAAAATTTAATTGTTTTTAATAATGGGAACTACTGTATACTGTAGTATACAAATATTTCTGTAACTAACAGGGACTGAAACCGTTTTATTTAACTAAAGTTTCGGTTTCGATTTTAAATTTCTGTCTCGGTTAATGTTTTAAAACTGGTTTACAAACATTACCTGTTTCTGTTTCAGTTTTAGGACACTGTCTTAGAAAATGATCATTTTGGATTTTAGTTTTAGAAATTATTTTTGGGTCGTAGCGGTTTTGACTGTGAAACTATTTGTACCACTTAATTGAAAAACAAATTAAATCACATAATTTTGAAAATTAAGTTTTGAAATACAATGTTTTCTATCTTTTCAGAGACAGCACATTTTACCAGGATGAGGCAAATTTTTGACTATCATACAAATGCACTGCACTCTATTATTATAATAATAATTTCGGAAGTTTTGAAAGTCTTTCAAGAAATAGAAATAAACACGTATCCAATGTCAGATGAAAATTTTAAGTATAAACTTATTTTAGTAATTCGTGCATTTTTATATCGCAGAAAGTCATGTAAATTACACTATCCATGTACGGCACTATTTTTATGAAAATGAAACAACTCAGTGATAAATTAATCAAATTTTTATTTCATTTACATTCTCAAAGATCTCCGATTTAATGGTCGAAAATTACATCTGGCATATGGTCACCTCCTAAGTTTCGACAGACAATTTTTCGTTCATTAAATTTGTCGATCACTTGGCCACAGATGGTTCCGTTACTTTTACCGATTACACCTTTAATTTCCCTCTTAAGTTCTTAAAATATTATTCCTTTTGCACTTTATAACACGCTTTTATTAGTTTCACCTGTATGTATGTATGTATGTTTGTAACTCTCCAAACGCCACGCGTTATCGCATATTCCGTCGTCTAGACTAGACTGTCATAACGCATTCACCCCACACCACGCCTCTCTCACCACACGGCGGCAATAGTATTCCTGTATAAATTTACTTTTGGTTATCGTACCCGTACACACGTGCGTGTCATCAATATTATATATATATAAACAAATTTTTATTTTGACTGACCAATACCATCCACGTGCCATACGGTTTACTTATGATTCCTACCGCCGTTTATACCTCAGGTATAACGTTAGTCCGCCCACAAAAGACGACTGTACCTAGTGCATGATACGTTTACGTACTTAAGTCGCTTTATATGTATATATATATAATATATATATTCTAATTACTATTAAAATTTATATATTAACACGCTTTATTCTAATTAATAGATACAAAGTATTCATTCCGATTACGAGGGATGATTTCCATATCGTCATTTTTCGTCACTACCTCCACGTTCCTGGAGTAAGTAATTTGCGCACCTGCTGCTTTCCTTGGATGTGGTAGCCGTTTCTTTGACTCCCTCTCCGGAATCGAACTCTGATTTCCCGTTACCCGTAACAACCAAGATATTGATAGTAACTACTATCATAACATGAAACTAAAAAGTGAAAAATAAATATAGTAAAAAAAAATAAAAAAACGCTCTTTTAAAGCACATCGAACTAATAAGTTAAAAATAATTTTTAAAATAATTATGAACAAAAAATACAAGTATTATTGTGATAAATGTGTGGGTGCTTTGTACCCTATTTTTCGTATATTGAGCGCCCAACGCTTTTATCACAATAGTACTAGTATTTTTTGTTTATAATTATTTTACGCTTATTTTAAAAATTATTTTTAATTTTTTAGTTCGATGTGCTTTAAAAGCGTGTTTTTTTAGTTTTTTTTAACTATATTTATTCTAACACCTATTGGATATTGATATAAATGCAATCTCATTTAATTTGGCAACACTAGCGGTCTGGTTACTAGCTAGGTTCTCGGTCATCTTGACCGCCTCTATGTAAGTCAATTCAAGTTAATATTCAGCCGCGCAGTACGTATTTTTTTTTGTACATATTGTCTTTTTCTCTCGTACGCATAGTGCCGTCGCCATTTTATGGTCTTATTTGCTTTTTAGAAAATATTTGACGTGTGTGTAATTCTGTTGTTCTACGTTTCTTACACACTTTTCTCCATTACATTTTGGTTCTCATCGTCGTCATCAGCTACGCCATTAAATTTTGCACGACCATTAATCCAACGTCTTGCCCATCCATCTATTCTTCGATTCTATCGGCTCCAACTAAGCTACGCACAAGTTCAAATTGATGAGTAATTTTTAATGTTTGCTTGTAGTTGTTTTTTTAATCTTACATAATTAATTTTATTGTTTGCACCATTGTGAGCATTTAGTAATAAGTGGCCCCCCGTCAAAATTATTTGTACTATAACAATTATGTTATTCATTATACTAATTTAAATATTTATAATGAAACGTGCGTTACATCTTTAATCATTGATAAGTACTTCATATAGACCACTTTCTTTACGTTTTTTTTCAAATCAAAACAAATCTTTCATTTTATCAGATTATATTGTAGTATGTAATTTATTAAGTTATTATTGAACTTTACTCTGTATGTGTTCTCCTGCTATCCTTGACGAATAGGATTTTAATCCTATTAATACAGATATAATTAATTCCTAATAATAGAGAGTTTTCTCTCTAGTTTTAAATACTAATACTTTTGTGTGTATGTGTATTAGGGTGGTCAATTTTAATGTCTTAATTTTCAATGTTATTTTGTTTACCAGAACGCCCTCTATAATTGTTCTATATGTTATAAAAATAAGTTTTGAGAAGTTTCGTGATGATCAAATAATTATTTCCCGTGCCGCAGAGGGGTTGAATTTTCATAAATGGGGATGAAAATGTTTTCAATGTATAAATTGGTAAATTTTCTTTTTAACACAAAAATTTATAAAACATAATTTATTTAAAAATTAATTTTAATAAAAAAACACGTTCTTGACTTTTTACTCTTATTTGCATATTTCATGAGATAATTAACAAAACATGAATAAGCTGAATTTTCCCAATTCTTCCTTTTTTAACACGCTTATATTAGTTTCACCTTATTTTTAACTTTTTAGTTCAATGTGCTTTAAAAGCGTGTTTTTTTAGTTTTTTTAAACTATATTTATTATATAATTCTGTCTCTACTAACATTAACATAATATAAAACTAAAAATAAATAATTATATATATAAATGGATTAAAATGTAGCAATGAATTAATTTTCAATCAAAGTACTTTTTGTTGCATCAGGAATTTTTTTTCTGTAATCTATTACAACTTGCAAAAGATATTGTTTTTGATCCTCTTTTTTTTTTTTTTTTTTTTTTTTAAGTGAATTATAGTCTCCTATTAATTTTACTACTCTTTCAGCAGTATCATTTAAAACTTTAAAATTGCATACTATTTTCTGACATTCGAGGTAATCTTTATTTAATTTCCATTGTTCAGGATCCTCATTTAATAAACCAGTTTTCATATTAAAACGTTCAAAAAAATTGAAAAAATTTCGAAAATAAGCGATTTTTAAATTTGTAATTTTTTGTAGGTTTCCCTCATTTACGGGGAACAAGGCAAATTTTTTCAATTTTTGAGGGTAATGTCTTTAACTAGATACAATTTGTGATCTTTTGATGTATCATTGAAAGAAATCGGTTCGGTGAGAGCTGAGAAAAAGTGGTAACAGACACAAAAACAAAACATATCATAGTAAAACCAAACCTTCTCAGCTTCGCATCGAAGCTAAATACAAAGACTTTACTTTAAGCAGTAAGCCAGACAGCAACAACCGAGTACTGAGATTGATGAATGACACTAGGCACTGGAGTCGACTGACCAAGATGGTCATGTCTTTCGAGTTTTTATAATCATTTGAACTATTGCCAATTTGGTAATAAATATTATTTGTTAATTCATCAGTCTCAGGAAGCGGATGTGCTGTCTGTATTTTATAATAATAATTCTCACAATAATTGTAACATGACACCATCACACGAGTTATGCATTAAAAACTAATTTTCATCCTCATTTATGAAAATTCAACCCCTCTGTGGCACGGGAAATAATTATTTGATCATCACGAAACTTCTCAAAACTTATTTTTATTACACATAAAACAATTATAATGAGCGTCCTTATTAAATTTATATAAAAAAAATATACCTACGTAGCTAAGGACCAACTTAATGTATATGTTGTGTTGTAGAACATATGACAATATCTAACTTAATTGGTAAATAAACAAACGATAGGTTATACACCACCAATATTTTAGTCAAATTTTACTACCATCCGTTTGATAAGTCTTCACACTATTATTTGTGTTCCAATCATTGGTTCGATAATTTGTGTACTTTTGCCATTTACGTTTATTAATATTCGCCGCATAATTACATTCACTAATTCATCGCGTTTTCAATAATCTTATTTCCATACAAAGTCAAATAACTTTTTTATATGACGACTATCTGCTCTCTTTTCATTATATGCATATCACCAGCATACAGGTAAGAATTTTAAACATGTATTTATTTTAAAACTTATTTTGTATAGTAACAAATAACTTTTATTAACTGTACTTTAAAGTTTTCATAAGAATTTTATAAAAAGCATACTAAAAGAATGAAATCTAATAAGAGCTTTCTTTAGGGTCAGTGTTTTTAATTAATTATAACAGTTTTAAAATGCAAAATTTTATTTTAAAAATATCGATTTTTATGGTGGCATAATTTTAAGATATTTTTCTAAATTTATAAAAATGAGAGAATTTTTTACAATTTTCGGCGAAGAAAGATTCATATAAACTGAATAAAGTCCTTTGACGTATTATTTATTGAAATCGTTTTTAAAAATGTTCCGGAAATACTGGCTTTCTCATATATATCTTCAAATTGAAATAATATCCTTCATTACCTAAATGGTAAGTGATAAAATTTTAAAAAATCAACATTCTAACGGGAGATGTGTAATTTAAATCCTGATGAATATTTTCTTGATTTGAATAGCCTTCGTATGATGTATTAAAAAAAACAAAGTTGGTACCCTTATAAAAGAAACTTTTAAATATTAGATTATAACTTTTTTTTTAATATATAAAAGAAAACTATTAAAGAATACAGATCTCCATTCTACATAATAGTTGTATTATCAATTAATGTTTTAACGACATTTTAATGTAAACATAATCACATTCATAGTTATAAAGATCAATTCATCTGTGCGAATTAAGAAGGAGTAGTAAACAACTATTATGACTTAAAATGCGTCTTTATAAATAAATTGTTTAAAAGTATAATTTAATAAATTGTTTCAAGTTCTTTTGTAGTGAATATTTGTGAATTTTATCTTAAACTTTCAATTAATATGGATTGAATAATATATACACATGGTATTTGTATGTCAAAATAATATTAAAAATATTTTATGAAATTCTAATGGTGTGTATATTTTATAGTATGAAATAAAATATATTATACTATCTATATAGATAATCAAATATATCATATTTGATTAAATCTAATTTTTATTTGTGGTATTAATTTACAAATTTTAAAGGTTTAACAGAATCGTATTTTTTTATTTTAAATTTTAAATTATCTATAATAATGATTTATTTAGTTTATAGTTGGGCTTAAAAAATGTCGTCTAGTATCCTGAATGATGGTTTTATTTCATTGAATATTGACGTTAATACAAAAATATCTAAAAACCACGATAACCAATTATTAGATGACAGTTCTCAACAAATTTTAAAACAAATAAAAGAAAACTATGAAAGTGTATTTTCTTGGGGTATAAAAGAGAAATGTGGCAGTAACCAAAATTTGTTGACAAATATCATTGATAAAATAACAGAAAAACATGAGATGTTATTAAATGGAAAAGAAAATTTTTTTCTTAAAAGGTAATCAAATTTTTAAATTTTTATTTAGTGCAACGAAAATCTTAACGTAATATTCTATAGAGTTATAATATGTCTGCTAAAATTTCATGATATTTATTAACTTATGCAGTAATTTATAATAATCTTACTAATTACGAATAATTATAATTACTAATTTCAATAAAAAGTTTTAGATATTAAGTGATGATTGGTAGTATGAAATTTAGTGTATAATTTTAAAGAAATGGGTAAATAAAAAAAGTAACTAGAAAAAATATTTTTTTTGCTTCATTGATTATTATTATACATTAATTAATATTTTTGATACAAATTTTTTTATTTATTTAAAAATTTAGGTAATCTATACCTACCCTTATATTCTGTTTTAAAACATAATTTTAAGAATTGATAGCAGCATACATAGGGAGCAATGGGGAATTGTTACCACTTGTATGTTAAGTTTTTTTTAGTTCCTCAAATATATTGCATAATTTACTAAATTCTTAATTTTCAAACTGATGAATTAAATTGAAGAATAAATACCAATATATGTACATGAATTATGATTTTTTCATTTTTGGTAATAAAATGATAATAAATAAACAAATTATATTTGTAGATTTCATTATTGTCTCATTATTTGTTATGAACTATTTCTCGAAGGAAGAAAAGAAGAATCATTAATAAAAATTAATGAACTGATACAATATATGGAAAAAGAGGAAATTTATTATCAATTTGAAAATTATATTGATGCCTTTAAGCATGTTGCTTATTCTACTCATAGTTATATATTGACAACTTTGAACATGAGTTCAAATAAGGTATTTATTTATTATGGAAAGTGATTAGTATCAAGAGGAATAAAGCTATAATTAATTATTCAATTAAGTAAAAATTTTGTTAAATAAATTATTTGTCATTTTATTTTATTTATGGTTTTTGTGTTCAGATAATATCATATTAAACTTAACAAAAGTCATGGTGTGCTAGTATTGTGTAATAATATTATATCAAGTATACAAATAAGATAGAGTAATTACAAGTGGATGGTATAGATAAAAAACAATATATTTGCAAATTGTAAGGCTCCTTTTAAATAGAAATGTTATTTCTGAATTTCTGATCATTAATTTTATTAGAATTATGGGTATGGGTATAAATACAGAATTCATATTTTTTGAGTTATTTTGCGTGCACATTAAATTGAACTAAAATGAATTAATAGTATACAATTTTTTAATTAAATGATAAAAAAAAAATTCAATAAATTTATTATTTATACATATGTAATGTATTTCCTATAAGTTTATTAATAATAATTGTATGTATATATAATATTTTTGAATTTTTTTAGGATAAATAAATAATAAATAAGGGTTTTAAAAGTATTTTAAAAACATCGATTTTGGTTTTTTAGGTTTTCAGTTTTGATAAAAATAAAGGTTTTACAGGTGTTTATCGTTTTGGTTGTAATCTTGTTCTAGACAGTAGCCAAAATTGATATGTAATTGAGTTAAATCAATATTATAAAAAATTCAATATTTGATAAAACAGAAGCAATTTTTGTTTAATATTTTTGCCATTGAGTTACAGTTAGTTGAGGTTATAGAGGATATTTTATTTTTAAATGGGTATAGTAATTTTACTGTTACTATTAGTGTAGAACTTGCTTTTTAAAAAGAGGGCTTTTTTTAGCAAATAATAAACCTTATATTTATTCCTATTAATTATGTTATTAATTGGTGTATAATAATTACTATGTAGGAGAACTCCCACATAGAGTTTGGGGATCATTCTATTTGAATCCTAATATATTGAATATAGTTAATGTATAGATAAAATATTTTAATATTTTTTATTCCGCTCTCCCACGTTTAATATGCATTGCAAATAATGATCCTGATTTTTTACATTCTTTTCATTTTTAGCCATCCTATTTAATATTTAAATTTTTGATTATGTTAAAATTTTTCTTTTTCTCTTTGTCAAGCTTAAGTTTATTAATGTTTCATTTTTAGTTATTAGATAATTTTAAGTTGTCCAGTTNATGTAGTCATTTAGCCATCCTATTTAATATTTAAATTTTTGATTATGTTAAAATTTTTCTTTTTCTCTTTGTCAAGCTTAAGGTTATTAATGTTTCATTTTTAGTTATTAGATAATTTTAAGTTGTCCAGTTAACTGTCTAATACATATTGTATTTGAGCTATTGCCTGTATAATTTATAATAAATAAATAAATAATGTAAGTTAATATTTTTTTTAGAATCTAGATGCTATTAAACAAAAATCAGCAATGAATAAACTGGAGCAATCAACTCTATGCGCTATTAAGTCTATAGTTTTTGTAGAATATCCACCAAAAGGTAATGATATTTCATTGGATTTTGCATTAGAAGCTAAAACACTTAATTCTGAAGAACCCGAATGGCTAAATATATGGCTTAAAGCTAAAGGAAGAGTAAGGAGGTTCTATTCACTATTTGAAATGCCTGATAAAGATGAATTTTTGGCAGCAAATATTTTAAGCAGCCAAAAAAATCCAAGATGTTTAATTCAAGCTACTAATGTTTATATGGAAGCTGCAAAATATCAAAAGCGTCAGAGAAACCGTGTAGAAACCAAAAAATTATATACTATTTCATCAGAACTTATATTGTTAGTATCTATTAAAATCATGTACTTCAACTTAACACAAACAAATTATTTTAAAGTAAATTATATTACTATTAATTTTATACAAATTAAATAATCTGTATAATAATTATAATTTGATTTTTTTTATTTCTTTGTGAACTCAAAAGTTGAATTTTTTTACATATTATGTTTTTATCCATGTTCTTGACAAGTTACCTTTTTGGATTCAAGATTTGGAAATTTAAGTTGACATGTATATGTTAATATTTGAGTTAATTAATTTTTTTATTTGATATTTTCTTATCCAGCAAAGCTATTGATTTAGTTGGAGAAAATCTAAATGATATGCATATTTGTCTTTTAATCTGCATAGATCTCCCTAAAGAATACCATGTACAGGATAAAATGAATGAAATTATAAATAAACTCACCAAATTTAATAATGTAGACATTGATTCTGCCTTAGGAAAATATTATTTCAAACATGAAAAAGTGAGAATAATAATTGTTTTATTAAAATTTGTATTATATGTAATAATAACAGAATTTTTATTTTAATTTTAATTTACTTAGGATTATATCAAAGCAAAAATACATTTATCGAGAGGTATGTCTGGTGGAAATTTTGGATGTGCAATGCTTTTGTTAAAAGTGGATTGTATTCTACAACCTATAGATAAATTTCCATTTGTAAAAACTTTAAATATGATGTGTGATATTTTCACCAGTCCTAAATGGCATCTGAGTCTTATATCGCAAATATTGCTATATGAATATTATTATGGCAATGATCCTAGAACATTTATTTATTATTTAAGAATGTATTTAGATGAAGAAATAGATGATTCTTTAAAAAAACGACAGTTAATTGTAAGTTAAATAATATTCCAAAATATTTATCTCTTCTATTCAAAAATTATATTGTAATAATACTAAAAATATATTAGGGTGGATCTTATTTTATAAACTTTCATTGATTGATCTTCATACCCGCCTAATTTTACATTATTATAAGAAAGTTATTAACGTAAAATTTGGATTTGATAACTTAAATATTCAGGTGACGAATCAGGGTTAAAAATTTGATCAAAAGGGTAGTTTTTTTTGGTCATTATTTCTATAAATAATACACTTAATGTAAAAAAGTTTAGAATAAAATTATAGATTTTAATATTTTCTTCAAAAATGATTTTTCCAAAAATATTTTTAAATTATTTTTACTTGCTCAAAAAAATAAGATAAAAAAAAATTATGTTAAAATTCACTTTTTGATTATAAATATATCTTAACTTTCGAAATAATCACTTTACAACAAAATGTTTTGTATAATTAAATTTTCTAAAATATTGCTCTTATGTAAATTTATTACAGTCAGATTTATAGTTTTGGTGTTATCGCAAAATTTATATTTAGTCTCACATATTTTCCTATAAAATCACTTCAATGTTATTTTGGTTTAAATAATTGTTTAATAATTATTAATAATAATAACTACTATTTGGATAAGTATATAATTATATACTTAGATTAGTAGATTATAAGTATATAATTTATCATAATGTCATTAGTGACTGCTAATAACAGACAAAAAAAATTGGCGGGTACGGTTGACAAAAGTATATAACATAATATCCACCTTAATATTTATATACATATATATTTTTAGCATACATACCCAACATTTAATGTAAATACTCTGTTTTTGAAACAAAATCAGTTTTTAAATAATTTAGTTTTAAAAGTTGAAAATTTAAAAACTTTAAAATTGTGGAGTGATGAAGAGAGATTAAATAATATTGAAACTTTTAAAATGTTTGAAAAAATGTTAAAATTTAATATCCTTGACAGCATTGATATAAATGCATGCAGTAAAACTAATGGTAAGTAAATAATTTAATGTTTAAGAACTAACATTTATTTTAAATTAAAAAAACATTTTTTTTTATTTAAAATTTATTAATAATCAATAGAAATATATAAAATTAATAAAAATGAACTATTGAAACTAGATAATTCCATTCTGATAAAATCGGTGAAACCAAATAAGGGAAGAATAGGTTCTGGTCGTTTTATTGGGTCGTTAGACAAATTTGAAAATACAAATCGCCTTGATAATTGTAATAAAACTCGATGTGAAAGAAAAACCAAAAGACAAATTTGGCAATCAGAAATTAATAAGATTGATAAAAATAAAATTAATTCAAGTTCCAATAATAACATAGATTCAATAAATGAGAATAATAAATCAGGTCCAAGTTATTGTAATAATTTATTTGACCATAGCCGCAAATCTGAAAAAAAAAATAATTGGCGTAACAAAGCTCACAATCAAAATGTTAATAATAAATAATCAATTATCTTCATAAAATCAACTTTTTAATAAAATGTTTGCTTCCATGTAAAATTTTAGTTTTTGTAACATTTAATTATTTCATTTAAATATAAATTATTTTAAATTTGTTTAATTATATTATTATTGAATAATTTATTTATGTTTATGTATTTATAACAAATTTTCTTATTAATAATATATTTAATAATATTATCATGTAATTATTTGATATGCGTTTAATAACATTATTTAATATTTTTATCTAACTCTTGAAAATATTCCTAATAGAATCATTTAGAGAACTTCTTCTTTTTCCTTGCCTTAATCACAATTATTTATGATAGTTGAAAGTATTGCCATTAGATGTTTGCTGTTTCGCTTTTGTTGACGAATTGTATCGAATAAAAAATTTTTAAATGAATGTATATAAAATAATATTTAATTTATTATTAAATAAACTGTAATTATATGATAGGTAAAATTACGCGCATATGAGAGCAATACGCCTTAAAATTGATTTTTTGAAAATCACATGTAATTTCACACAGTGTTATTTTTGCGAATAAAAATTTAAAGAAGATGAATTAGTTTAGATTTCAAAATAAATTTATTTCTCTGTATTAATCATAGATTTTGTAACCAATTTTTCTTTAGTTGTCTGGGTACCGACCAGAGATCAGTTTATTGCTATCTTGATCTAATCCGAATTTAGCTCGGTGTAAAAGTCGGGTCGGTCTGTTATATTGATTTCATGTTTACCATGACCATTAAAGTTTGACTTAAATATAGTCTACCTGTTTTATCCGTCGAAAAATATACTTTAAGAATAAAAATCTTAAAATATTTCAAAGTTTAAAGCGTTTTGTTAAAATAAATGTAAATATTATAAATATATTAATAAAACCAAAATATAATCTCAAAATGTTGATTTATCACCCAGTTTTGTCATATTGTAGTTAAAATAAAATAATATGTTTACTTTATAGAATTTATAACATTTCCCATTATCTGTAATTATCTTGCCAGAATTACTTTTTTTCCAAAAAAGCATATAGTACCTGTTCTAAGTCTGTGAGTTTCCACGAAGGCTACTCCTTCAGTAGCTGCTATTTTAGGCTCTGTCATATCAAGTTCGTGAACATTTTCATCGAACTTCTCACATTCCTCATGAATATTATTAAGCTTATTGTCTTCAACATTCACTCTTTCTTTTGTCACATGTTTTAACGTCGTCACGATTTTAGTTTCTGAATCCTCGTACTGCATTATGTCAGTTTTCATTTCATGATTACTAACTGCACTCAAGTAACACTCCATGCCTTCTAATTAATAACACAATAAGCTGCAATAATATTTATCGTCTCAACAATAATTTGTCTAATTATAGTTCATTAAAAAAAAATTATTAATGAATTTTTTAATACTGTTTATATAAATCTTCACTACATTTACATTTTCAATTAAATGAGTGTATTAATTCTCTGTGTGCGTTAAAACGCTAGGTACCGAGAGAATTTTTGTTGTCTATCATGTTTAGCTAAGTTTTATTAAAAAAATATCGGGACTAGATTAAGCTAAGATACTATACCATTAATATTACGCTTCTTTTTGAAAAGACAATACTTGATGACTCTCGCCAACCGATGAAAGAATCTTTTTGACTTCACTGTAATGTGATTGTTTGCAAAAAAATCAATTGGTCAAAATACTTTTTTCACAATTTATTGTGACTGTCAGTAATATCATATAAGCACAAAAAAATAGCTCTTCTCGACCAAAATTTAACAACAAAATAATATTTATTTGGAAATAAACATTAGTATATCCATATTAAATAAACCATGGCAACTTGATTTAATATGTTTATGATTTAAAGACACTTAAAATATTAAATTGATAGATGGTCAAACATAGAACAATAGTGATTTTGAAATATTTAAAAATAATTAAGTATTTAAATAGTACCAACTCCTAATGTATTTTTTCTATTCAGGATTTACTTTAAATTTAATGGATTGTCCTAGGAAATCTTTTTCCCTTTAATATATTTCACTAATTTACCATTCAGGATACGGAAAACCCCCTATTTGGAGATGGGTAATTTAAATTTAAATTTTACTATTTTTAAATCCTATTGAATATCACCTTATTATTAAACCAACACCTTCTTGTATATTTTGTCTCCTAATTCAGCCGTAAATGTTATGTTGACACGCCATAATTTAATAAAAATTAAAAATTTCGTAAAAACACAAATGATATCATTTATTATATCAGTCTTTCGACTGGTCGATATCAACTTTTGAACCAGTGTTTCTTGAGTTGTTGACATACTTATATCTTGGTGAGAGGAAGAGTACGGTAGGGAAATGTTCAGTTATAAAAATAGCAGCATCCCTCTTCACTTCCAGGCTTTTCATTAAATATTTAATAGCTTCTTACATTATCTATTAAATAAGCTAGTTGAATATTTATTTAATTTTAACTCGTATTTAAGATTTGTTTTGATAAAAAATTTGCTCGCAAACACAGCCGTTGGATTTCTTTTCTGAATAATTTTATTCTCCTGATAAATTTAAATAACAGTATATGATCACTCTTATTATTTAGTGATTCATGTTAGTATGAATTATTATAAAATATGTTTTTTCTTTGAAATATTGATAATTTCCTAATTTTAATAATTTGTAACTTTTGGAACTTTCATTAAAAATAAAGAGTGATATGTCTTCAACATGAAATAATTCATGTTTTTTTTTGAAGTATTGATCTACAATTTTAGTTTAATAGAAGCTGAGTACATGAGATGTAATAATGTCATATAGATGAAATAATTCAAATCTCATATTTTATCCAAATTGAGTTGGCATTACTATCTTGTTCTAATTAGTAAGAAATTTATTGATCGTCTGATAAAAACAATCGGAACGGGAAAATATGACAGCCACTAACTAAAATACAATGTTATATACCAGCTGTAATAAACCAGCTTTTTTTTCTCTTGAAAAGTTGACAAAAGTGTGATATGATGTGTAGCATTTCAAGCGACGATGTATATATGCATATATTACTTAACTTTTTTTACATAATTTTGAAACGATTTTCGTGTTCTTTATCTCAGCGTAATAATTTAGATGCTAGAAAAAAAAAATGTTTAATTTTGAAAAAAAATTATCACAAAATGAAAATTGTAAATACATGACATAGTCATAGACCAAGATATATCACCATACGTTATTATCGCGATTTGGAACGTTCTAGACACGTAAACAATACACCACTAAATGGCCGCAGTCGGCTGATAAACGATTAATTAAACAATATTACTGTTTAGTGAATATTTAGCTTGTCGGACAAGGTCGCGTTTTCGACAGCGGCGACCTTAGGTACCGGACAAAAGTTTAAAAATAAACAAACCGCTGCGTTCTGGCTGCGGAGAGCCATCGAACGTTCAATCGTTCGCAATGACATCTTTCGTACACTTTTCTGCGGTAGCGTTGGTCCTGTTGCTAGCGGCCGTTAGTTTAGACACAGCCGCCACTAATTCAGCGCATTTAGAGACGACGTTCAATGATACTCGATCGAATACGATAGACTACGAAAATGTACCACTGAAGAACGATTTTAATGTGGCCGCCAACATAACACCGCCGAACGCCGTCATGGTGTCGCCGGTTAATAGTAACGTCCTATTGACGCCTACCACCGCACTATTACGGGATGCGGTTGCTAATCAAGATCTTCCAGACACCCAGATACCGTCCACCCCAATAGCTAACGGCGAAACGACGACACCATCAACTGTTGTCTCGCGAGTGGTCGCCACATCATCTATTAATAAACCTGATCATTCTTTAAACAGTTTACTTCAAACGACTCCCAAGACCGTAACACCACCGTCCTTAAGCATGCAGATACCATGTCCTCCGGATTTCCAATCTTGTACTACTGCGACTACTACCCCGATGCCGCCCTCAGCCCCTGCTAAGGTTTCATCCAGTTGTCAGTTGTGCTGTATTAATGGCCATTACTGTAACTAGTTCGTTGATAGCTNTCGACTGTATTAATGGCCATTACTGTAACTAGTTCGTTGATAGCTTAATATAAAATAGATTTCAATTTACTTTTGCACAAGCTCAATATTTATGTTTCGTTATTATGATAACATAATATGATCTTCAAAACAAACTCGTGCTAGTGAGTTTTTAGTTTATAAATAAGTTATGTTTTATAGAGTGAATATAATTTATTTTCGAACAAATCTCATGATGATCTTTCTTACTTTTTATCTTACTGGCGTTATAAAAATAAACATGTTTTTATCTTCGTATTCGCCTCTAGTGTAAGGTATTTATCAAATATTCTTTGAAAGTACAATTCGCATAATATTGTATGCGTTTTGAATTATTTTAATAAATGATTAACAAATTAATAAAAGAATATTTTTAAATAAATTTAATAGCTTTTCATAAAATATGTACTTTATTTTTTACTTAATATATTAATAATAGTAATATTTTAGTATAATTTTTAATTTAAGGAGCCTTTAATTTTCTTGGTAAATTTATTTTTAAAAAGTGTTTATAGTAGCTCTTAATCACAACAATTTCTATACTACTTATAACTACTCGGTTAATTTCTATGACCTCTATTGTATAATTATGATAATTTAAAAAAAGTAAAAATCGTATTGTTTCTGTTATTATTTATAAAATAAAATACGTTTTACCATCAAATTATAATTCGTTTTTATCTTTTATAGTAATTAATTTATTTTGCGAAAAGAAGGATAGTTTACTAACTTTTAATTCAAAAGAGATGTCTAATAATATTCCAGTGAAGATGGATATAATAATTAAACTAGTTTAGTAATGTGTTAGATAATTTAATCGTAAAAACAAAACATTTTTTGTTTGTTTATAACATAAAATAATTATTGTTTTCAATAATGCGCCAGTCTTCGTTTAAATGGTGTATAAAACATCTTATGGTGTAAAAATCATAAATTATCAAAATGTATAAGCAAAAGTAAATAATAAGATGGTAATTTTGCAAACTCTTCAAAATTCTGATCAAACTTTGGTGTTGTGAATTATACTACAATAATCAAATATGATTTTCGTTTTGATTTTAACAACAGTCATATCTGATGTTCAAAGTTATTGAATTGAAAATGAAATAATTATTTTCTACTGAATAAAATGGTATAGGTAGTTAAATTCTAATGAAGACATTGAAAGGCCGGGGTCCAATATTGAAATCAATGATGTGGTCTCCCGAAGGCTTTTATTTCGAACAGTCAACTATTTAATAGAAAACAAGTAATAACAAAAAATATATTTATATTTTAGAGTAAAGGTGATTAACCAACCTCTTAATAGCTAGCACCGATTTAAAAATTTAAATATGTTCAATTAATTTTTAATTTTGAGTTACGAAATATGCATGTCATTAATTTGGTTCTTCTTGAAATATGTGAAAGTAAAAGAGTCACAAAATGATGATCAACGAAGTATACAAGACACTTACATTTTTATTAATAATTAGTGGTTGTCAAAGATAGGTAAAATATCAGTAGATTTAATTTCTAAATTTAGAAAATATTGTACAACTAAAAAACTTATTAAACTATTATAGAATAGTATTTGTTTTTTAATGCATTATATTATACATTATAGATCAGGGAATAAGAATTGTACTTTGCAATCATATAACATGATAAGTTAATATTATACATGCTAGTTCAGATAAAAATGAAATTGAAAATGAATAAAATTTTCAAGATTATCCTTATCCACCAAAATTGTTTTTTTTATTCAAAGCTGATGATATTAAGTTGAAGGTCTGTTTGTTTTATAAAAAATGTGTCTGTTGTATTCATATAGATAAAATGTTTTCTTTCTTGTCATTGATTTTTTTCTAATCAAATAACAAAAATTTTAAGAATGAGAAAAATGTACTTAAATTCTATTTTCGTTTGAATAATTTTGAGAAAGGTTTTAAAAACAATTCAGAGTCACGCAATTTATAGTATTCAAAATGTATGAAAACAAAAAAATGATTATGTAACACTTACAACGTATTGATTCACTTCAAAAATAAATATAAATTTTTACTCAAACATAATAAAAAAGTTTAGTTACTTTAAACGCACGTTACTGATCTATGAATATCCAAGCCAATATTATTTAATTTGTTTAATTATAATTTATGTTTCTTGAGTACAAGTAAATAAAAATAATATATAAATAATATCCAAACATTTTGCAATTAAAGTTAAATGAACTGTTTTTTGACAACAAATCGGTAATAACAAGTTAACCATTCTTTTATTCTATTTTTCTATATAAATAAATATATTGAACATTATTTAAATTATATATAAAATAATATACTTTATATTTTAATATGAATTTAGCTTCTATTTTTTTTAGTTAGGAAAATGTTTATAAAACTAATTTTTTCATTACTTGACTTGTTTTCAAAAGTTATAAATCGTAAAATTATAATCGTATAATAACAATTCTCAACTTAACCATTATTTTTATCTAGCCTATATATTTATGAATTAATAATTAAGATAGTATTTTATACTTGGTTCATTAACAAAAATATGATTTAAATGAATGAAATTAATAAGTTTATTGATTTTAATTTAATACATAACATAATCGTTTTTTTAGTATCGAATGATTTGAAATGATTAAATAATTTCTATTTTATATTGTCAGCAAATATTTTTATTACTCAATTCAATCTTGTATTACGTTAATTAACACGTATATAGACGTCACAAAATTAAATTATAGTGCCTGTATTTAAGTGTTTTTCAATTAAATAATATAATAAATATATACTTTTACATTTAAATCATCGTTTACTATGAAAAAAAATATTATTTTATAAACTCAATGTAAAAAAAAATAAATAATTTTAAATTCCTAATTCATAAGCTCAATCGAAATTTAAATAGTAAGAAATTAAGTAAAAAGTAAAAAGTATTATAAGATCAAAAAACAAAATTTAAAAAAAAATAATTTTGTAATAATATTACGATTACATATGGTCATAAGATTAAAATGTTTTAGTTATATTAAATATACTATAATAATAAACTTATCTGAAATTGAAAATAAGTTATATGCATTGTTGCATAAAAATAGTTTTGAGAAAAAATAAAATAAAATTCATCCTCTAAAAAATTATGTCAAATTATGCGTAATACGTTTAATTGTTATTATAATTGGAGTATTGTTTCATTCGAGAGATATAAGTTTTTTAATAAATATGGATAGTATAATTAAAAATGTAATTATTCAGTTATATTAAATTAGTATTTGTTATTAATCACAAATATTATAACCGAATCAAACTATTACTTAACAAACATTTATTTATATCGCCTACTCTATTATCAACTTCAGGTAATATCTTTATTCATTAAAATCAAAAAGTATTGTAACTTAAAAAAAAAATAATGTCATTTTTAATGTACAAAAAATGTATTTTACAGTGAAATTTATTGTTATAAAAGTACATACAAACATTTTAGTTTTGACTGAATATTTTTAACACACTAAATATAATAATATTTATTAATAAAAACCATACAACTGGTTTGGTTTATAATCTATACAATATACATAGTATATATATATATATATATAATAATTAATTTAACTTAAAATTTAATTATGTATGAATATTACACAAGAGTTTTCTAATGAGGAAGGAAATACTGCTTCTGTAAAATAAAAAATAAAGTAAAGCAGGAACGTTATAAATAAAAAATATTGCTCTTTTAAAATGTTAATGACATATTTTCATCTTCATGCGTACTAAAACAAAATAAATAGAAAAATATTGTTAGCATTTTCTGTTATTAGATTAGATTGAGTAACTTACTCAACGTCAAGAAACAATTTTCTTCTGCATATTTTCATTTCTAACGGCCCTTGGCGAATTTTTTTGAAACAATTTATAGCCTGAGCATGAGTCATACCACTGACTGATTCTTCATTTACTCGTAATATCTCATCACCTGCAGCAAACATTTATTTGATATTAAACTTATAGTTATATTACTAATGCAGATAGTGAATTGACATTTGAACAATACGTTGATATTGAAACACATTACAATTGTAAAAGAATAAGTTTAATTTAAATTTATTTTAGTTTTCCGTCACGGGGAGTCGCTTCTTTTCATTTAAAGTTTCTAACATTCTGAATCGACTGAATCAAATATCAATCTTATAATAAATTGTTATGCTTTAGTTTTTGACCTTCTGATCTTTGAGCCAACCACTGTTGAAAGACTGTTTTTATAACTATAAAAATCGATTATATTACTACTTTCACTCAATATCTTTATTGTTATTTTATCTAAACCACAATTATATGTCTTATCGTAAATTTTAACAGTAGCACCCTACAAAAAAAAAGACATACCTTCCATTAGCGAATCATTCTCAGCGGCTTGGCCGGTAGTAAAAATGGTCTTAACAAAAATGCCCATTTCTCCTTTTGGAGAATCTGATCCACCCACGATGCTAAAACCTAATGACTTATGACCAGACCCTTTGTAAAAAGTGACAGATGCATAAGTGGTACTCATTGTTGGTAATGATGGTAAAGGTTTGGAAGAATTTATTTTGCTTGCCAACACCCGATTGATTACTGATACGGCGTTTTGCTTAGGATCGTAAGGCTCAAATTCTCGTATTTGTTGTTGTTCAAAAGGCTGTGGATGTGAATCGATAGATCTAGAAACAACTATTTCTACGTAATATTTTCCAGCTTGTGGTATGCTGTGATTTAGAACTTTTTCAGCTTCGTATTTGTCATTAATGCCTCGTAATAACCTTCCATTAACATTCATGATTTCGTCATCTACCTTTATTCGACCATCCCTAAAAAATAACAACATCAAATCAATTAAATACATTTTATTGTGTAATTCTATTTTGTTATACCTATCGACCAATTTTCCAGGTTCTAGTTTAACTACAAAGAATCTTGTCTCCTTATAATTAGCAACGTGTTTCACTGTCATTTTTAAATGTATCCCAAGGTCGTCATCATACCTAGTTTTCACTAGACGAACAACTTGAATACGAGACTGTAAGTTGTTGAGATCAACAGGCAAAGAAGACATGTCGTTACTGATAGTCCCTACAGATGGTGATAATTTGTTCTTTATAAACATTCGTCGATGAAAATTAGGCGTCTCCTTGGATAGGCCGTCTGATCGAATACGGTCATTGATTTCGCGATTCTTTTTATAAAACAGACACATAGAAGGTACGTTGTAGTCCTTATCACTATGACGTCTCGGCACTGGTGTTGTTTCAGAGTGCTCTTCAAAATCGTTCAAACTGTCGGTGGCTACTGATTTGGTATCACCAAAACCACTATCTTCGTCTGCCGCTTTTTGACGGTGATAAAGAGACTCCATTGTTCGTGGTCCATCACTATCATACCCAGACTCATTGGATGAACTCATATTGCTAAATACTCTCCTATATTCTCTATCATTATCCATTTCTTTGAATAGTTCTTCAGTAACCACAATTTCATGGCTTTCTAGGGCTGGTCCACTTCGCTGTTTAACGCTAGCACGTGCTAAGTGACTTATAACACTGCCACCATTTTCTTCCGGTAATACAGACAACCGGGACCTTAAAAATGCGTAAGGAAAATTTGGTTTTTTTGAAGTACCTAGTTTGGATATATTGTCACAACTCCTGGTTTTTAAAGGAACATATCCCGGTTCGGTGGGAGATTTAACAAGTTCACGATCATCTTGTTCACTATCGATAGTTCTCGAATCCCCACGATGATCTAAGCAATCAGCTGGGTCGTCTCCTTTCATGTAAGAAACAGTTAAGTGAGAAGTTGATACACTTCTATAGAGTTGACAATCTATGGCAGACTTTTTTGATTGTGTTAGTTTGTCACGAAAGCTATTACTGTATAACCGTGAATAGCTCAACATACCCGTGGAACCAATTCGGTTAAAAAACCCTTTAAGGGTGGATGATTTTTCGTTACATCCGGAAGTTTGACCAAGTGACCAAGATGAATGATTTTTGGCAGTCGTAGTAGTCATACTATCTCTAGATGATAGGCTGTCCAATGAATCACGCGATTCACTTCGCCGCAACACTTCCAACCTCTTTCCCATTTTTCTGCCCCAAGTAATGAGTTCTATAAATACATATATATAAAAATAATTAATTAATAAAGAACTTCAATGACGTATTTTTTTTCATTCAATAACATTTTCTTAGTATTAGAATAAACAATCATATAGTTTATAATGAATAATTGAAAAAATTAAAATTCTTCTAGTGGATCACAATGCTATCATGAATCCGTTAATCGACCCCAGAATCCTTCTATACGTGGTCTATGATTTAAAATAATTCATTCAAAGTAATTTATATTATAATTGTTTCCTATCATAGAAGTTGTGTTTTTGCTAAACTATGCTGAACATTTATTGTACTTATTAAATAATTTTCAGATACGTGTAAACATCATCACTAACATAACAATTTTCTAAATGGAGGGATTATATTAATTTGGGGTTAGAACTAAATATTAAATTCCTTTTTTTTTTTGCTTATACTTACACAGGATATATCCCCTCGTTTCATCCAATTATATCACTGACTACCGTATTTCAGTAATTTAATAGCTTTTTGATGTTTTAAATATAAATTTATCATAATAAAACTAACCTTCGTTAAAAACTAAAAATTTTGCTGTAGGAAACTTTTCTAATATAATGATTATTTTATAAAAATAAAGTACAAATGAAGTAGTTTATAAATACCTTAAATGCATGAGAAATAAAATAATACAATCGATGCAATATTTATGAATTACTTTGCTATTAATGCAATTTTTATTTCAAAATACTTCACTAAAAATCTAAAATATTATAAGGATAATTTAATGGAATTCTACTGTTTTTCTCAAAGCAAAAACTTTAAAGAGGAAATACTATTGGTTTCGCTACAACTTGGAAAGTACTTAATTTATTCGTTTAACTACAAACGATAAATTTCGTTAAATGGTACATAATATTATAAGGTTTTATCCAAAAATTTATCTTAAATTTGAATATAAAAGTGAATAGTTTGCAATTTTTAGTCATAGGTAGTTAACATAGAAAACAATTTCGTTGTAAAGAAACTAAGGTCTGCAGTGATTAAGTATACATGAGAAATAATTCTGTCTCTAGATGACCAATGTATTTCTTTGGGGGGTGATTAATGATAGTGAACATGTGTAACGAGTAATTTCGTAACATCCTAACAAATATTCAGCTAATGCGATTGGTTCTTCACAGCGGTAAATATTGGCTTTATAATGACCTAAGGATTTTATGTTATGGAGATTGAGAATAATACAGATGTATACTACAAAGAAGTGATTGAAGACTTCCGGGTTATCGGACTCGTGATGTTGCCAGTGTAAAAATAAAGGTGGACTTTTCTACATGTACTGGATTACGAACTAATAGCAGTCCTCGATTTCAGGGCTACATCTATAGTATTTGTATAATACAAAATACTACATTATGATACGGGAAGCCTACTGAATATATTTTGTCAATAGCTGTAATTATAATATTCATAATAACAATGTAATAGTAATGTAGGTGGACAGTACATTAATGCGGTCATTCGTCTAGGAATGTATACTTTCCTATTAAGACTCCGAGACGTTATAAAACCGTCAGCGCGTAGATAATAATGTGAAGAAGAAAAATAATATATCAGGTTCTAGTCCTGTGCAATACGGGATTTAGTTATCCGATCAGAATTAAAATTACTTGAGCGCAACGTCGTCTATGTAATTAGTCTTTTGACTCGATTGGAATGGAAATAAAAACATTTCTCGCTAGCTATAAAATACACGCTACGGGAGGTACATGTTTTATTTAATAAATAATCTGAAATAGTGTTACCGTGTAATAAATTCAAAAGAACGGCGCATGGGTACTCTAGAATTAAAAATATATTATGTTTTAAATCCCGCATGAGCTGATCATTTTTTTTAATCATTTCAAAACCGAGTAGAATGTCATCCAATCCATACAGCGAATCTAAAAATGTTTTTTGTTTAACATGTTATGCTCAAAAGATATTATGCAAGGATGCGAGTAAAAATGTTATAAACCAGATCAGAATATCACTTCTGGTATGTTTGGGCGGTGCGCCACTTTGTTTTGTATAAAATATACACATACAGCCTGTGGGATTACATATTATTACATCTATGATTTCTAGGTTGTGAAATTGCACTTTTTAAGATTACACGTCCAGTTATAATGTGGCATAGAGAGATTGTTATTAATTAGTTGCTAGTGTTATCTATCAACAATCTACCTACAGTAATCACAGTCCATTTGACAGGAGTCTAGATTACTCCTTAATGGTGTTTTAGATAATATGTGTATAATTTTGAAAAATCTTCTTATACTCATATAGTTTACTTACAAGTAGTCATTTGGAAGCTATGCTATAATAAATCAAAGTTAATAACTGCGTATTTGAAGAGTATTTGAAATAGTTCATGAAGCTATAAATACATAGAATAATCATTACTTAGTAACCATTAAGTAATGTGATAAGTGAAAATATGATAAGAAACAATCAATTCCCACAACAACACGTTAGCTCTTAACATAAACGGGAGGTGTTTTGACAATAGGTATAAAATAATAATTGCTACGGTACTAATAATTTCACGAATATTAAAATAAACGTACTTGTTAACACTTAAATAATGCAAAATGATTTTAAAACGATTAAAGTAACGGTTGTATGATTCAGTTAGATTTTCACATGTGTGTGACCAACACGTTTAAAAAACGTTAACAATTAACATGTAGTAATTTCTTAGTCAGCTTATATGCAGACATCTCTGAAATATTTTTGTTCATTAATGTGTACGCATGTAAACGAAAGTGCAACGTGCGAAATGTGTTTGTATAATAAAGAAATTACTATCTGCAATATAGCTAAAAAATAATAGTAACATCGTATATTATGAAATATAATGTAGTATACTCACTCCATGAATAACAATTAGTACTCAGTTATTATTCCTGTTGTCATATAAAACGTGAGAGAATTATTTCATACTTACACCAGCAAAGACAATTTACATGGAATCATATGTATACGGTAGTACGGTAATAACTTTATGGAATTGCAGGTTTTCTATTTTTTATATTTATATAAAAATTTTTTATTTCATTTCATTTTATTATGCTATATAAGTTGTATCTTTGAGTGTCTGGTGAACTACTAGGATTCCATAAGTCGTAAAAAATACATTTAACGATTGCGTTTAAATGTCCGCAAAGAGATCACATGTGATACGTTTTTATATGAATACCATTTTATACATGGCAGCAATTTATTTACAATAATTCTACATATAGATAATGACACTATGCAGCATGAAATTTTAACAGGAAACCCATTATCCTTTTTGTTTATAATATTTTCAATGTCCAATGGCCAAAAAATACAATTTACATTTGTATTATAATATGCCTGCGTAGGACTATAGAATAGAAAAAAATAAATACACTTTACCGACTTTCAGTTAAAACTAAAAATGATATTTATATGCTAAAATTGTACAGATCTCAAGTCAAAATTGTAAGTTGGTGTATATTTTTGTGTAGTCGTATTATTATAACATCCGTCACGTAAGAGAAATTTAAAAAAATATATTTTAGATGGTTAGTAATGCAGAGGATAACCTGGGTGAAAAGTCAATACGAATTCATACATATATTGTTAAGAAGAAGTAAACAAAACGGTTTCGTCACTATGTAGTAACACTTTTATCAATTGTCAGCCAACATTATGGCGAAGTCTGCCTAAGTCAGATTAAAATACTTCAAATCTTTATTACATGTTAATACTTAGGATTAAAGAGTATGTCGAAAATCGTGAGCGATCGAAGTTATATTTATCATTAGTTACGCCATCGAGTGGAGGATTCAATCTTGTTACTCAGTAAAATACTAACATCACTCACTGTATGATATCACAAATATTTGAATATGGTGGGAAAGCACGAGATTATAAATTATAGCAGTAAAGGTGAATTATATTAGAAGTACAAGAAGAATACTAAGTTGAAGTTACACGGTGAAAACCGATCGGGAGTGTGTAATTTTGATAAGAAAATACGTGATAGCAGAACGAAGGCAACAAATAATTTCGCTAAAACCAATTTATCTGATTTTATATTCTAATTAATTGTTTATTACTCAACGACGGCAGTGAGAACACCCATTATTATGTAAAAAATCGGCCCATTAATCATCACTCTTAAAAGTCACGTATATAATGATATTTCACAATATTAGATTTAATTATAAATTCCATGGAAATATAGTTTTTTTTCAAATTATCATCTTATCCTTATAAAACTTGTTATAATGTCTCAACGAAAACTAACCACACTAACATTTCTCAAATTAACCCTGACCAAACAAGTAACCAATTAAAACAAAATTACACTTACTTCTTTTAACTTCGGCCGATTTAGGAGTTTCTTCCAACACTATGGCCGGCACGGCCGTGACCGTCTGGTAGAAACGACCGTCCATGTCCGACGTCGTCACCAGAGGTAGGCCGTTGCACTTCTCTTTATCCGGACTCACTTGATGTCCAAGCATTCGCATTGTCCTGTAACACAAATAAAACATATATTCAAATCATTTTGATCTTCAAGGGCTTTGTACAGTCTTAAGCTATTGGCGTATTTATTTTTAAATTAAAGCAAAATGGTAAATATCACTATTGTAAAACCGTCTTTCATTTGTTTTATAGACAATTGAAGGTCGTTTGATAGGTTTATATAAGTTAATGATACAGATCATAATATACTAAAAAATCTGATAGACTAGTGTAATCTGCAAGCTCATATCTAGTTCCAATATTATCAGAGATTTCTCAATCTCCTTGACCGTAATTCCTAACGCATCACCACGCAACAATCTCATGATTATTAAAATCTACATTTAATATGTTTCTTGCACCTTCAACTTGTTATCCATGATAATTTTTTGTCTAACAGTCATATGTAAATTTATACTAATGATAAATTTAAGAATAGTTTGAGCATATCACTTGCCAAATTTACGTAAAAAACAGTACGTTTATATTTTGTATACGTACACTAAATTTTTCAAGTTTAATTGTTTAGTGTGCAGAAAGTCGATAAAACAAGTTGATTAATAAGGTTACATTATTGTGCTCACGTTAAAAAGATTTGTCGAAATAGCCGCCAAACCAGAGGCAGGTGATCAACATCTGCCGGCTCGTGACTGGTCTAATGGAAAAAATCGCTATAATACACACTAACACGCTCACACATACACAATTACGTATATGTTAGGTATCAATGTATAAATAAGACTCGTATAATACAACCCCAGTATAATATGTGCATCGTAGTGGTTCAAGAGTACAAGAAATGTACTAGAAACTAGTTGGATCCAACGGCTTCCCCTCTGTTCCCCATTTGCCTCAATTGAAATTGCATTCGCTCGATCGCCGTCTTTAAGTCATTAGACACGAAGCTTGAATGTAACCGAAGAGACGTTTCTATCATAATAATAATGATCCTGATGCATGGAAAACATTATAATTATTATTCTAGAAGGAATGTGACTAGCGCACACGTCAAGACAGAAGCGTACGACAGTATTAGTACTTTGTCGGCCGTCCAGAGTTTACAACGGTTTATTTTTCTCGGTAGTTTTTTCCATTTAAATTATAGCTGAACTAGATATTTGTATATGGCAATCGATATTTTTATTTTTAAAGATTCAATGGACTCTGTGAATTTTATAAAATAAAATTCTCGATTGTTGCTAATGCAGTTGCTATATGAAAAGTCAATTCATTAGTAGATTAGATTTTTATCAGTTGATACATACCCATGGGCGTCAAATCCCCAGAATAACGAAAAAAAAAAAATTAACAAATCCGGTTTTTACGTTTTAAGTTCAAATCGACAAGGATAACATTACTGCAATTAACAGTGTACATGTAAACAATCTCATAGTAAATCGCAACTATTTCTGTAAAGAAACGAGTCATACGTTTTAAATATGTTTTAAGTATAATCAATGAATCCCAGGAAAAATTCTTGATATTTTATAGGACTTCTTTGAAATTCTGCGAAGTCTAATTCATTGCTTACTTTTGAATAGTTTGCTTATGGTTTAATTAATGAGAGCTCGTTACCGTTACACGTTCATACGTAGTAATACACATGCATTTTGAAGTGTTAATACGCTTTGTAGATACTTTTATGTCGTCGACCTACACGAATCCTTATATAGTTCTTATTATTGATGGCTATAAACTGTCGCTGGCTAAAGCCGAACGCGGTCGAGGACCCGTTGAGTTTATTAACTCATAACGTATAAGATATATAAGTTCTAGTCGAGGTTCATATATATCATCAATGCTTTCCACGGCCTAATTATTAAACGCGTGCACGATTAAAACTTGATAATAGACATCTTCGATGCAACTGGCTGTACCATTCTATAGTTAGTACATTAAAGGTCTAATAAGTTTATGTACTTATATTCTAGATCTGCGGGACTGGTATACGTCTTATACATTGGGTCGACTCTCATCCCGTTTTGTGGTATTTACACTTATCACACACATCATATTACTCGTACAATAATAGTAATAATTATTCTTCTTTTACGCCGATATCCATCGTACGTGATTAAACCAGTTCGGTTATGTGGATATATAGATTTGCACATATAATCTTATACAAATGACAATAATCTCACTAGTGCTGAGTTGACTTTGTTTTTATTTTGTTGATTGACCAATTGTGAACAATATTATAAAAAACAGGTTTGTATGACCGTTATGTCTCCGGTAAAGTTTATTAAAAATAAACAATAAAATTTGTGCGCTTTGAATAGTCAACGATTGCTTTTGGTTCGACCATACGCATATTACTATACTGTTGTGACTAAATAGTATAAATTAAAATAACAAAAAAAAAAAAACTAGGTAGTTATAGCTATCAGATAATTTTTCTGATTGATCAATCTACTTTGGAAATGAGCTTGAAAAAAATTAATTGCATAATTTTCTTTAGTCTCCAAATAAATTCAACATGGACATTTTGATTAAATATGACAAATTATATAAAAATAATATTTTTACAAATAAAAATATATTTGGTAGCAAATTACATTTTCATTTATACTCTTTGAAAATTTGTTCTCCTTCGAAACTCTTTTCAAGTGTGTTCTGAGAATTTATTAGTATCCAAGCACTCGAATAAAAAGATAAATAGTCCTAGTCATTTACAGCAGGTGCTGTTATGAGGCATGTTATAGTAACTATAATTTTGTTTACTATTATTTGATATAGTAATAAATTTGTAAGTTATTTTTTTTCTTCTCTAGGTATATAAATTATTTCAAAGTTGAATAAAAATAAATTATGGATCTTTAATAAATATTTTACTGTGATTACAATGCCAGAATAATATATATATATAAGGCGATAATCAGTTTTGAATAAATACTTATAACTTTTTGGTCAACTATTTTCGTGTAATAAAAATGTTTAGTGACTTCTTAATAGTGTAAGAATTAATAATTATTTATTAATTTCAAATAAATCCATTTAAATTTAAAATTCAGAATAATTACGAGTCAAAACATTTTTAAATTTGATTTATACATTTCTTAGAGTAAAAAATGTTTCTAAATGCTTAAATATTAAAAACAAGTTTCCTCGTATAAAATTCATTCATATATTAATTTTGCATTATCTATATTTAGTTTATTTTTGAACTATTAAAGGGGAAGATGGGATTACAAAATCAACTAAAAATTAAGTACAAAACTTTTTAGCATTAATATAAAAAACGAATTGAATAATGAGAAATGTATTCAATACATTGATTTTACATTCACGACGTTTATTTTTTCCGTATTGCTTCCATTGTTATTTAAGCAAACAATTACTTTAAAAGAATTAATGGTTTATAAGGGGTTTTTTATGGTGTATTTATTATCTTATCTTTATTACACCGATATGACAAATTTCAAATGCTAAGTAAAATTTTTAGTTTAAGTAAGTTTTCACATATATATCATACCATAGTAAATACATGTCAGTACTGTTTGTTAATTAGAGTTTCTTGTTAAGGAAATTAGGATATTGAGATGGACGACGACAGTTTAAGTACAGATGACACCCAGTCGCTAGAGCACTCACATAAGATGATAATATTATTACTGGGAATGCTTTAAATACATGTATGAGCCGATCGAAATCTGGCTCCGGTTAATGCTAGGAATCAACATTGAGTAGAGGATAAGTGTTTTTTTCAATCCTTTCTGTTAATTTTTATCCGCTTGAATAATTTACTTGAATATTCCATGTACATAAGAACTATGCAATGAGAATTTTTATGAATGATCTGTGCTGGAGGCGAACGGCGACCGATTATACTAACTTTAGGTTCTTTATACATACTTGTTTAAGCGCGATGTAATGCCTCTCACTCACCTATCTTATATAAACTAGAAGATGGTGCCGACAAACGGTTTTATTCTAAACGCACAATCATACAATATAATTAAAAATATAATTCAAAGATATTAACTCTTTTCGGGAGCAGAATAAAAAGAGACCGGCTTACAAATTAGAAACATTGAAACTTAAACAATAAACGAATGAATTTAAAATAGGCGCCAATAGGTATTTTAGTACTCTTAAAAATAACCTCTGCAAAGTGCACTCCTTGAAACCGCTTCAAAGCTACCAAATTTGTTAGAGAATATAAAACTGTCAGGGTTGAGATTTCGACTAAGCGAAGTAGTTAAATTGGCAAATGGAATAAATAGGTTAAAAAACAAATAGTGACAAGTAACTAAATTTTAAAACTCACTATCCCATGGTATATATATGCTTGGGATCGACTATTATTTGAAAATCGTTGTTTCATTAATGTCAGGCGCCACTATTTTACAGTTCCAACAGCACTCTTGAACTAAAAATTAGTAAACCGGAAGGGATCCTTAATTTGCTCCATGTCGTGTACACGTCCTACAGACAGACCACTGCAAAAGAGTAAGTATAAAATGTGGCAATGTTAAATTGAGCGCACAATCGATTTACCATTAAGGATACAGAGTTAGGTGCATGACTGTAAATTAATGTATGATAGTATTGTTTTGGTTATATATATATTTATAATGAAGTATCAAAAAGGAAGTAAGGACTGCATTAATATACCGGTAGTTTTATAGAAATCCTTTTTCTCAAAAGACAGTACAAAAAAAATTTTTTGTTTGAAAATTATTTATTTTTAAAAAGCTATACATTTACAATTTACAAAATAAAGAAATGTACTATATAGTAAATTAAATAATCAGCAGACATTTTTAACAACATAATTATAATGATTATTAAGTTAATTTTAAATTAATAATTATGTAAGTTGTAATTTAATAAAATACTTTATCAGAATCTTAAATACAATTTAATGAAGCCAAATATTAAATAACTATTCCGTACAGAGAAGATGCTCCAAATATCAATGTTTTTTTACAAACAAATATAGGAAATATAATTTGTTTCCTATAATTTTGTAGCATTGGTGCAGTTGTAATTGTAATAGAAAACGTACCAAACACTATTTCTCATATTTTTTGCAGTAGTTGTGGCAATAATTCAGGAATATACTTATTGATATACAACAAACGTTCAACATTAGAGAAATAACAAAGCAGATCTTCATAAAAAACGAAAAGATAACAATCATTTTTCCTCTATGCGTCATAAGCTTTACTATACAAATGTATAATATTAACTATAATTTACATTCAAAGTGTACGTCTATTTTATTATTTTATTTGATTTGTATATTATTATTGTTTGTTTTATGTCATTAGTTTTACAATATTATCAATTATTTGTAATATTACACGGTATAGACGTAATTATTTAATCATTATGTTAAATATCAAATCAATCATTTGTACAAGTTTTATTTATAGATTTAGGATATCTTATAAAATCGTAGATTAGTCTTCTTCGTGACCTTGAAAACATCCTTTAATTTAGCAGATGCATATTTTGAGTATAACCCTGATTAGAATATTTACTAAGAGTTATTGACATTTTCATTATTTTATATAAAGTGTTTTATGCTTGGTTTCTACTACAGAATATCATACATTATAAATGAAATTCTTTATAATTAACAATTCAGACTGTTGTTTTACTAATAACTATTCTTTTATAGCTAGATAGTAACTGAAAAGTTAGTTTTTTTCTGTACTTAATATAAAAATGACTATAGTGTGTAAACATGACTAGTAATTAGAAGAATATTGTAAGGAATATGTGATGTAAGCGTGAAAATCTTTTCTGATCTTTACTTATTATATAATATTAAATCTTTATATTTAAGTGTTTCATATCAATTTACCAACATTCATTTATAAGTGATAAATTATTATTTAAAGACAGATATTATTATTCTTTCAGCTGTTATTTTGTGAGACATGTCATATCAAATTGTGTCGTCATAAAATATAAACTCATCTTCTCTGATGTACCATAACAGGCAAAGCTTTTACTATTCAATAGAGGTAACGTACGTCTTTTTTAAAAAAAAAACCTTTGTCCTGTATTTACGTGGTTCTCTTACTTCGCTATATACACATACACAATTGTCATTTTGAGTTTTTTGACATCGGCATTTTTAATAATATTGCATTGTCCCAGAAAGTGACAATATGTATTGGTTATTTTTGTCTCGGTTGCCCTTGTAGCTTCTCTTTGCTCGTCATTGATCCGATGGCCCCCGGGTGTACACAAATACTTGTATACACATAAATTTCAACACATATTTACACCCAACAACAATAAGTATACACCGAATCATTGCAACGACCTGAGACGTGTTCTACTCGCCCGTGCCATGACATCGGATAGGTTTGCGTGCTGAGATCACGTCGCCGACGGACTGCGGCAGACCAAATTAATATTATTGTTGTCGTGAAATAAAGACAGTGTTGTACAAGATGATTTTACACGCACAAAAGTACATAAGTAGAAACTTTTTCTTATGAGCTATATTACGTATTGAAATTTCTAGTCGTTGCAGTAAAAGGTGTGTAAAACAAGTGACTGAAACACGTTGAAAGAAAAAAAATCACAAATACAGGGAATAAACGAGTGGGTTAAAAATTTATTGACATCACAAGCCATTAAAGATGCGGAGGATGTTAATTATTATGCAGAATTTTTTTTCTCATAAACGGCATAAGGCGCTCTGACCATTTATAAAATCTCAAGTAATTTTGCAACCCAGATAAGATAGTAATGGATAATCCAATAAAATTAAATGCTCACTATATTCACGGGATTTGTTACACTTTTGAATTTTCAAGTAATTACCCAATGAGACTACGAGTTGACCGTTTGATCTTATGATAAAGTTACATTATTTATACAAAATGCCATATGAGTATTTTATTCAACAGGAATTGGTCGAACTTAATTTAATTTAAATTAAACCTTAGTTTAATTAAACCACTGTCGTAATTTTTAAGTAAAATTTCAAGTACACGATGAAAGTGATAAGTAAAATTATTTATTAATATTATAATCATAATAAATAAATAAACAGATATTTTATAATATTATGATTTATAACATGTTTACAACAGTAGTAGTTTAATACTTGTGGTATTACTTCATAATACTAGATTTACTTCATACCTTCTAGCGAGAAGTAATTATTTCAAAGAACGATTATTTAGTGTTATTAAGTAGTATTCGACCGTCGGCATCTAAACATAATGATTTTTCTAATAGTTCTTTTGCTAGTACTTCTTCAAATAACTCCGCGCAAATTACCTATTTGCTGTGACCGTAGGTGGTCTATGATTTTTTATTTTATCTGCTACCAGTTTTCCTTTTTAAGCGCTTTGGATCTTTGTTTTCAAATAAAATATTTTTTACTCTGTGATCGACCTGTTAATTCTTGACGGTTAACTCCGACATATGCCTCCACGTTTTTGTTTAAGTTATTATCTAATCGAGTAGGCTCAGACTACACGGTTGTATTGGAAAATAATCATCGTCACAGTTTGACACGTTTATAAATTCTTTTACAACCCGCGTGTTTGACACTCCCACGGGAACATCGATCTCATTGATTATAACGGGAAAATATTCATAGACCGATAAAATAAAATATTATTTTTATCAATTGTTATGACGTTCAGTACAGTTGAAAAGTGACCGCGTTTTTCTATGTATAAATCAAATATGTACTTCGTTGGCAAAAAAAACGTTCTTTGCTATTTCCGTATTGGTGTCAATGAACACAACAAAATCGAGCGACACCTTTGTAATTAATTTGTTTTAATTAAAAAAACTGCTTGAAAGCAAAACACACAACTTACCTTGCAATACACACCCTACTTACTCAAACTGATAGGTTATTTTAGAATAAGTATAACTGCTTCATATAGTTATACGATTAATGTAAAATTACTTAATTATATTTAAAAATAATAAATGTAAATAATATTCAGAATAAATTTGCTGTACAATTATACACAAGTAAGCAAAAAATACCATAAAAATACCTGAACAAGTCATTACTTAACTAGTGGTCATATTAAAAATACATTAGAATACTGCTTGTAACATTACATTCTATGGGTTCATGTAGTTTAGTTTTTTGGCTTTTCGAAATACCGGATTTTCTTATGACACCTCCTAGCACCTGAGCGTGAACTGCTATATATTTTGCGGACCATGAACATAAAATTTGTTTTTAGTGAAATCCCTTGAATTCGCAACATAAAAATATCCAACTCGCTATGATAATAGTTATAGTTGTGCTGTCGCGTAATAATTACATGCCATTCATTATTTCTGTGTAAACATCTACAATTATACAACATTCCCAATTACAATTTTTACGGTGTTCACATTTGTGCAGTCGAATTTCTACATTGTACCGAAATAAAATATGTAACAAATACCATTGTAACTCATTGCAATTTATTATTACTATGTCATAAATTCCAGGTGACCCAACGTGATTAATTCAGTTGCTATTTACGAAAACCTTAGTAATAGTAGATTATCACATAAACAACCTTCCTAAAAAAACCGTGAGAGATTACAGTGGAAATATGCCATAGTTGAGCGTCCTCGAACGCCTAAAGCTCAATTAGTTTCCGATTAAGATCAATTACATATTATCGCGAAGCTCTATTTTATTTTGTTAAACGATATTCATTTCCCCTATAATTAAACGGTAGTATGTCTGTTTGATCGCAATATACATTAATTTATATAATTATTTCAAAATATGACTTGTTAGTTATAACTATTTTATTAATTAGCAATCTAATGCTACTAAAATCTTACTTGACTTGTCTTTGACTTAAGATAAAATTAAAATTTGTGTTATACGTTGAATTATAAAAAAAAAGAAAATAATAATAGAACTTTTATTTAGTTAAATTCGGTGTGATAAGGGATATAATTAAAATCAAGATAACCGTTAATTTTTAAAGACACAAAAGTTTGATTAACAAGCTCTATACCTAATTATATAAATTAAAAAATTAATCGTACCCATGTTAATTACAGTGTTTGATATCTTGTGAGACGTTTTTTTTTTGTAGTTTTATAGTGAAATGTTATTATTTTAATGACACTATTGGCCTTCTGGTGGAATACTCTTTATACAAGTGGAGTATTATCACTGCGGCACTTAATCAAATTTGGTTGGTTCATTTTCCCACGCGTGTTGATTGTTTTTAACGTGATTTAAATTTAATTAACTAATGATATGACAAACGAGTACGACTGTAGGAACGATACTACTGCGATGGAGAAGTGTATTCACTTATCTATTGGCGTCGTGTGAAAACTTACAACATCCACCCACGAAGCTTCCCGAGCTCATATCAATGCAAAATAGAGAGAGACCTAACCCACAGCACTGTTGACTATATCATAATATTATTGTATGACCGTTTATTTATGTTTTTATTAGTGTAACAGCAGCAGAAACAACGGTCAC